TTGCGTCAAGGAGGAGCAGACTATAAGCTACAAACTCCGAATATTGGGGCGGGGCAGGCTAGCAGCGATTCCTAGAGAAAAACATGTTAATTTCAGAGTTTTTTATGAATTAATGAAAAAGTGCCTATGGGCTACAGACTACAATAGAGGTAAGCTATCAGAACTTCTTTCGAAAAATGCGTCTGGGGCAAGCTAGCAGAGACCGTTAGTGCGCTAACAGCTGGGCGAAGCAAAGGAACCCACGCTCCAAATTCCAGTGAACCCGCCGCCCGGCCGAAACGCCGTGAATCCATCAAGGTCCACCTCCAGCGCATCAAGCAAAAAGCTGAAAAGGTATCGAAATTTAATCTGTTTTGAGTAGGTAAATCCTGCCCCAAAATTAATTTCCCGGCTTTCCAGGTGCTTGAAGAAGTTCATGACCGTTTGGTGGATTCTGGAGACCATCCAAGTAGTGGACAAGTAGCACCGGCTGTGGAAGAGCCGATTACGTCACCAAAATCGGAAGAAGGAATTACGGTAGCTAGGATACGATTTGGGAAAAAACGGTGATTTTAGAGTCCGGTTTCCCCGCCGCCGGAGCTTGTAGCTGAACCGGCAATTCTAGAGAAGCCTGGGAGGTAAGAGGCAAGCTAGCACGAGCATTTGGGGAATGGAAAGATGGCAAGCTAGCAGAGATTATTAAGGAATCGAGGGCGGACTAGCAAAGGCAGCTTACCATTTCAGCCCAACCCCATCCCAGTCTTCACGAAGGACGATAAGCTCCGCCGAACTTAAAGACAAAATGCGCATGAAGATCCGAAAACAAGCTGAAAAGGTATGCATGACTACAAACCACACCAAAGTACACCCTCGTTTTTAGGTGGTGGAACGTACTCGCGACAGTATCCAGCTGACTCGAAGACTCCAAAGAAAACCGACTTTCCGGCAGAATAGTGAAGCGCTATCACCGGAACAGCTGAATACTGATGACGCACAGATCCAGAGGGCATTGCAGGTATGTCACTTTCCCGGGAAAACGTCGTCAAGAAGGGTGGCTCTCCAATGATCTCTGCTAGTTTTTCTGGATGTAGGAATGGCTCCTTTCCTCAATAATCTCTGCTAGACCGCGGCTAGTTCACCATTTTTTCGAAAAACCAGCTAGCAAGAGCCCCTAAATTCCTCAATAACCTCTGCTAGCCCTCCCATTTCCAGATCGGCTCCCGTTTCACGAAAAAAGAGGAAAGCCAACTTCACTCCGAAGAGAAGCAACTCCAATTTATCACCGGAAGAGATCCGAAGATCATCTATGCTTCCGCAAATCGAAAACATGCGGTAAGTGGTATCCACGCATTAATGACAAGTCCAGACATTTTTCGGTAAGAGTTTACTTTACCCCCCCACAGCCGAAGGGTCTCAAAGTTGTCGGTATTTTCGCTTATTTTGTCGGGATTTTCGCAACGCCATTCGATAGAGCGTCGAAAAATATACTAAGAGTTTTAATATGAGCCTACAATAATGTAAAATAAAAAAGTTATAGCCAAAACATTCCGGCTGGGGGGGGGGGGTAAAGTAAACCGTAGCCCATTTTTCAAAGCCAAGTTTTAGGCTGTGCAATTCGCTGGGGCGAGAGCTGCCAAAGAACTGCCAGAAGAATTGTTCAACTCCATTCCAATGGAGGAAAAGAGGGATCTGGAGGCTGGAAATGTTGAGGGGATTCGGTAGGTCGAGTCGAGACGGGGAGCTAGCAGAGATCAGTTGGGAACCAGATCACGCAGTACTGCGGAATGGATGTCCGTCTAGCAGAGACAATTGAGGACTCAGAGGGTCAGCTAGCAGAGGTTCTGGAAGAATTCTAGCGAGCAGCAGCCGAGCAAATATTCTTGAAGAATGGGATGGGGCAAACCTGCAGCAATCCTTTCGGAAAATCTCCCTCTTCCAGCCCGGAGCTTCGCGGAATCGGCATGAATTTATCGAAAATGAGCCGCCGAGTGAAATCACGAACCCTTCTCCAAGAGGGTCAACTCCGAAATGTCAAGGATTTGGTGGAAAATCAGCCGTTTACAGTAAGCCCTTTTACAGACTTCGCCTGAACAGAACATTTCAGTTTTCTACCGTAACCCCGGAATATCCACTCTACCAATATACGCCAGCCATTCAATGGACAGAGGCCACGAAAAGGTACGGTAAAAGGGATGTGTATTAGTGTGATTTAGGGTCAACCGGAAATTCGTGCAACTTGATGTAGCAATTGGGCAGCTTGTCTTCAATTATCATTGGCTGGCCACCGAGGAGGTCGGTTTTTTTCAAGGGATTTGAAAGGCATTCATGGAATCTACAGGGTGTCCCAAAAAAACGAACCATCCGGCATTTCGCCTTGTTACATTCGATCGGCCCCAAATTTGGAGCAGAGGTGTATCAGACCCTAAATAACAACAATCCTCACTTATAGCCCGCTAGCTACGGTAGTTTTCGAGAAATAACAAAAATAAACTTTATTTTCCATTGTTCATAGAGTTTCCGTGGAATTAGTTCCCTTAAACATTAAGTGATAATGATCCGGTAGGCCTTGTTTACCTTAAGAAATTTTTTCCGGGCTAAAATTAATCAAATAAGCGTCGATTTAAGCGATTTCCCACAACGAAAAATTACCCTAGATCTTAAGCTAAATTATGGATTCGCAGCCGGAAGTCAATGTAAATCGATGCAAAGTCCAAAAAGATAGCCGGAAAAACTGCTGAGAATATATGGGGAAACAGTATTTTCGTTATAACTTTAAAACGACTGTAGCTACGGGGCTATAACTTAGGATTGTGGTTTTTTATGGTCCTATACACCTCTGGTCCCAATTGGGACCGATTGGATGTAAATAACACGGCGAAATGCCAGATGGTTCGTTTTTTGGGACAACCTGTATATTGGGAGCTAGCAAAGACCTTTGAGAAAAAGTGAGAGAGAGAAAGCAAAGAACATCGCGGCAAAATAATGCCTATTTTGGAAGGAGGTAGGCTAGCAGAGATCATTTAAGCGACGTTGGAAAAGGGCAAAAGCTGATTAAGGAGGTGTGGTATGGTAGCACAATTTCTTGAGGGCGCCGGGCAGCTGGCAAAGATTATTGGGGAATAGAAGATGGTAGGGGGCCCTTGAAAATTCGATTTTTCAGGACGCGTTGGCGATGCGAATCCGAGAAGAAGCCGAAATTCACCTCGAAGCTGCCAGATCAGTTATCACCGCCATACAAGAGATAGGGGACGAGCATGAGAGAGCCGAGAAAACAGAGATCCCTGTTGATCCGTAAGGATTTTCTTACTGTCATCCCCCCTTTAAATACAATTCGGGTTGGCAGGCTAGCAGGGAGCATTTGGGAATCAGCTAGTTTCCAAAAATACAGAAATTTTTCAGAGACAAAGTTGCATCAGCTGCAAATCGTGCCGAGACCAGCCATCGTTTGTACCGAAAAGCGACCCGGGATATTGTTCGCTATTCAGCGCAACTTTCCGAGGTTACTGTGGTTTTTTAAACATACAAAATTATCGATTTTAGACTCGGAATCGGCAAAAATATTCAACAAATCCGCTCGATTGTCGGCATCTCAGGATCCCGGCCGGACCGGTACAAGAGTAGGTTCTTGCTCTAAAAGTCCTTCAAAATCGCAGCTGGCTTGCGTCTTGTCTCTTCCAAAATCTCTGTTGGCCAGCCCTCTCCCCATTCTGTAAATGATCTCTGCTAGCTTGCCCCTCTCCATTCCCCAAATGCCCTCTGCTAGCTGCTCTCTCTCCATTCCTGAAAGATCTCTGCCAAACCCGCTTATATTTCCTCAATATCTCTGCAAGCCTGCCTTTTTGACTTTTCATTCCCGTTAATTGCCCCCTTTCCAGCGACCAATTCGAACTCCCCGACTTTTTCCTGATCAGCAACGACCACCCGACAAGCCCGGAAACCATGCTCCCACCCGAAGAAAAAGCGAGATTGGCCGCTTTTCAGAGGTATTCCCCAAGAATCCCTGCTAGCATGCCCTGATAATTCAGAGTTGAAATCCAAGTGGTTGTCCATTTCAACGACATCATCGTTCACCGTACCCCTCCCCGTCCCCTTCAATCCGATTTTTGTGTCGACCTGGCCGAGCTGTACAACTTGGAAGTAAGTGTCTTCTGGTACCATTAATTGGTAGGCTAGCGGTGGTCATTCGGGAATTTGAGGCCGCCTAGCGGTGATTATTGACGAAAATAAGCAAATTATCTCCATTCCAGATCTACACCCCTCCCGAATCGATCACTCTGACCATTTTGGAGCGTTTCAACAAGGGAGAATATAGGTGAGCCGCAGCTAGTCGAGATTGTTGAGGAATTTTGGACTTCAGCGTCCTTTTAAACCGTGTTTTTAGGGAAATTGCTGTTGTCGGCCTACCAGTGCCCGATCCAGGAATGATCACCGATGATCCGGAAATACCAAACCTCAAGCCAAGCTTTGCCACCGATGAACGCATTAATGGGTGAGTGAACGAGCAAAGATTTTGGAGGAAAGCTAGGGCAGCTAGCAGGGATTGTTGAGGAAGTCAGCAACGGCGATCTAGCCGAGATTTTTGAGGAAAGCGTTATCGAGGGAGTAGGAAGCGGGAGGCAGGCTAGCAGAGATTCTTGACGGAATCAGGAGAATTAGAATGGCCATTTAGCAGAGGCTATAGAAAAACCGGCGATTTGGAGGGGCAAGCTAGCAGAGATTTTTGAGCGGATCGATGCCCTAGATCTAGAAAACGCATTTTCAGATATTCCGGCTCGCTCGGCGCGAATCTCGACCAATCCTCCTCCCTGCTCTCCGGCTCAATAATGGCCAAAACGACATGGGCCACCCGTTTCCCTCTCCCGCTCACTCATTCATTAGCCGTGGGTTGAATGGCCCTTTAAAATTACAGAAATCATTTCAGCAAACCGCAAAAAATGAGCCATTCCATCTGTTCCCACCGTGTATGCAGGTCGTCACGGAAGAGGTGAGGGGTTTAGCAGAGATTATTGTGCAATTGGGAAGGGCTAGTTAGCAGAGATTTTTGGAGAGAAACGGGAAGCAGCCTAGCAGAAATTCTTGAGGAAATCGACCCAAAACTTGCGTCCTTGTCCCTTTAAAACGTTAATTTTCAGGAATTCCACTCCGATATCCGACTGGACATCCTGGCCGATCGGTATGAGAAGCGCCTGTGGGACAAGCCACTGTATCGGGGGTGAGTACGCTTCGCAAGACTACAGACTACAGAATACAAACTGCATAATACTGCAGGCACAGACTATAAACTACAGACTACAAAGCGCAAATTTGGAGCTAAACAAACCAGGAGACTACACATTCTAGCATCAATTTCATTCTCATGCGACAGGCTACAAGCTATAGATAAGAAGAAATAGGTTACTGACTACATTTACGGGGGACAGGCTACAAAACACCCACGGAAACCTTTCAATAAGTAGACTAAAAAATAATTTAATGAAAATTCCCGTCTAAAAACTACAAACTACAACCTAGAAATTAAGCTGTATGCTACAAACTACAGTTCGAATTCAGTAACTTTTTACCCATTTCCAGAAAGCGGCTATAAACTACAATAATAAACAAACCTTAAAAAATGACTAAACCACAAAATGTGTATCATAGTACGATATTTGTTTTTAGCAACCCGAGACTACAAAAATGAGCGACAACCCTAGGCTACACAATACAAACTCTAGAAATCTTCAGAATTCCGATGAACACCTCCGAAATCGACGCCTCCCTCCTACAACTGTCAGAAGGGCGAAACACGACTCTTCGTCGTCGTGGCCGAGGAATTCTAGATTCTCACCGCCAATCGTCAATGGCCTATGCTGCCATGATACGGTAGATTGCGCACTTTATAGCCATCAACCCGCTAAGAATTTTTTAGGAAAGAGCTGCTCGATCGTTTTCGGCGTTCCGATGCGTCGAAGAGTTATTCGGACTTGGTGAGAGAGGATCCGATACCATCACTTTTTGGTAGGGTAGAGTTTTAATATTGAAGAAGGAATTTTAGGGGCATTTTCCTCGCTTTTCGGGCCCGTCGATCAGAGCCGGAAGTTGAAGCCGATGAGACAACCGGCACCCAGGGTTATGGTAAGGGGAGAGAGAGAGAGATAGTGAGAGAGAGAGAGAGAGCGAGCGAGAGAGAGAAAGCTAGCAACGACCATTGAGGCATTTACAGACAAACAGTGTTGATTTGAGATGATGATTATTTTATGATTGGGGAAGCAATTATGTCGTTAAATTCCCCAATCCTCTCTGCTAGCTTGCCCCAATTCCAGATGACATCCAACGTTCAACTCCTCGTCAATATCCAAAGCGCCATCGACCTGCCCGTGCGAGATTCGGGCCTCTTACAGCCATATGTACAAGTGTCGTTCCAGGTAAGGTACTACTGTGTCACGGTAGAAAAGTATCTTTTAGGACCAAAATGGGCAGACTGGCACGGTTAATGGCGCGAATCCATCATGGCAACATTCTCTCATTTTTCCAGGTAGATTTGGCGTCCCGCGATTAATTCCAGTACGTTACAGTACGTCGCGAGAATGAGTCGAGCGATCTGAAGAATGTGATGGATACGGTAGAGATTGCTGTCTACGATCAGGTGAGCTGCGTTGATTTTGGCTGAAAAACATTCACACTAAACGCTAAATTAGCATGGATTAGCCTTCATAGGCCCTTTAAGAGCTTGTAAATTCCACGGTGATTTCAGAATACGTTTAAAAACAAAAAAAATACCGTACTGCGGTTACCCCGACTTCATCATCCCTTTAGTCCGTCTCGACCCTCCCAAAGGATGACCGGATTCCGAATGCTGTCCACGAGCAGACGACACAACGGTTTATCGCGTCTGTTAGGGTAAACATGAACAGACGATACCAGTCACTTCCCAAAGATTCTGTTCAAGTTACCCCCATTTAGATCCCGTTTTCGACGATTCTCAGTCGAGGGAACATTGAGGGACAGCTGCGACTCCAGCTTCCGTTGTTTTTGCTTGGATACAGGTAGGCCTTCCTCAAGCATTTTTGCTAGGACACCCTTTTGAAAAGGTAGCTGCTAGTCCGCAAAGAGAGTTAGAGAGAGAGAGAGAGAGAGAGAGAGAGAGAGAGAGAGACTCATGCTCCCTAAACCTTTTGGATCCCTGTATCCACCACTCGATTCAGACTAACAGAAAAGCCATGCTACATCCGTGTCCTCGTCGCCCTGAATCCTCCAGTTGCCGTGCCAAGACTCCGTCCACCCCGCCTCAATGGATCTTTCGAACCGGCTACCGTAATCTGCCTTTCTATCGTACCAAACCGTCATTTCAGGTAGAAGCGCAGTGTCGACAATGGGAGACAGTATGTAGTAGTGGACCGGAACGGAGCGGGAGAAGATATGTCAGCCTTGTGTCGGATACGCATGGGAGGAGGGTGTTGGCTACGAGGTACGGTAGGCTTATTGTAGAATACGGTAAACTATGGTATGAATATAAACGGCGAGCTCACATATAGTACATAGCTTGCCCGGATAGCACGGTTTGAACGGTAGGTTTTGGCTACCGTAGTTGCGTGGAATTTGCTAAAACAACAGTAAAAAAAATTTAGATTCCTCCGACCGGCGCGTCTACCCCCCAGATGGCATAAATCCAACGTCAAGGGGAGTGTAGCGGAGGCGTTACGTGCTGCGGCTTTAATCCCATTTGCCAGTGATCCGATCATGTTTCCGGGAATTTCGGATGTATGGACGAGTTTGCAACAGGTACGAAAAGATGTTGAGAAGATCGTATGGGCAGGCTAGCAGAGACCATTGAGGAAAAGGACGGCCAAATTCCAGATTCTTCAACTCTGCTGTGGAGATGAGGAGGAGCATGGAGTACTGTTGTGCTGTTGGCTGTTGGCTCTGGATGTTGAGGCAAGGCTGGTGCTTGGGACTGCATTGCCTGAAGGTAGAGAGGGGCAGGCTAGGAGGGATCTTTGGGAAAATTGGGATTTAGGCTGACCAGGGCAAGCTAGCAGGGGTACTTTAGGAGACCGGCAGTCCCGGTTTTCTCCTAGCTAGCCCTATACGGGAGAGAACAACGAAACATAGATAGTCAGATATAGAGCGAGAGAGAGAGCGAGAGATAGAGAGAGGAGGGAGGACACGAGAGATAGAGAGAGAGAGAGAGAAAGAGAGAGAGAAAGATAGAGAGAGATATAGAGAGGGAGGGAGGGAGAGAGGGTGAGAGAGAGCGCGCGAGAGAGGGGGGAAGGAGGGAGAAGAGAGAGGGAGAGAGAGAGAGAGGGAGGGCGAGAGAGAGATAGGGCGAGAGCGAGAGTGAGAGAGAAAGCTTACGACCATATTCACCCATTCCAGGAGACAAAGCCGCTTTCGTCTACGTAAAACACCCAGAAATCACCTGCCTACTCAATCCAACGGATGGTAACAATTTCTGAATGACTACGGTAGCTGAAGCGTTTTCTAGGAAACATGTATTCCCTGGACGATGGATTGTGCCCACTTCTTTCTGTCGGGACAGTCATTACGCCGGACAACATTTACGGCAATGTCCAGCCGAACGATCATCCATCACAGATCACCTGGGATTTTACGGTATGAGAAATTCTAAAAGAATCTTCGCTAGGTTCAAATAGTAAAATGACAGCCATTTGTGCGTCGATATTTCCCAAATAGCCTCCGCTAACCTACCCATTTTCAGAAGCCACACCTCTGGCATCCTCTATGGCTGAAACCTCAAACATCAACGCAGAACTTACCTAACGAAAATCTGGAATATCCGGAATTACCGTAATCTTTGGAAGAAAAATTGAATTTTTCGCATTTAGGGAAGAAGTTGTTTCGGAGTTGAGGTCAACGATCGAACGGGAAGTACGCGTGCGTTTCGATACAAATCGACCGTACGGAGTACCGCAGTGGAATCTACTGGCTTCGAGGTTGGCTTGTTAGCTTATTCTTGGCTTAGGCCTGGCTTAGGTCTGGTATAAGCTTGGATTAGGCTTGGACTATGCTTGACTCGGGCATGGCTTAGGCTTGACTTCGCTTTTGTCTAGTCCTGGCTTAGGCTTGACTTGGCTTAGCTTGACTTTAAGCTCCAATGTCTCATTTTCTAGAGCCCTGCGCGAGATCCTGCAAGAATTCGAAGCCGGCCGTCCACCCGACGTCAGCGACAAGGTCGGCTAACAGGGAGATTTTTGGAAATTTTTTTAGCTGTCCCGCCTCCGGGAATCGTTTGTGGTTAGCGCATCAGCTGTCCGAATCCCGTTCGAATCGTTGGAGACTACCGTAACCCAGGTGCTTCGGCTGCTCTATCATGTTGATGCTTCACCACAAGTACAGGTAAGTAGATGGATAGAATATGCGCATTAATGGCCAGCGAAATGTTGATGGCAGGCTAGCAGAGATGATTTGACAAGCTTAGCCAGTAAGGGCCAATTTTGGGCCTATTTAAGTCCTAGCAGAGGCAATTTAGGAATTCTTAAAATGTCCTCAGAAATCCCCGCTAGCCTACCCTTTTTCAGTTTGCCGTGGCCGTCCACGTCGAGCCCCTCTTCTGCCATATCGCCTCCATATCCATTGGTGTCGCTGCCATGACCCCAAAAAATTAATCCATTTTTCTATTTTTATCTTCTGCATTTTCACTGCCAGTTCTGTGCTCAAATTTTTATACAAGAAAAACAACGCATTAATAAATACAAAAATAATACTATTATTAACAAAAACACGTAGAAAAAGCGAAAAAAATTGAAAAATCACACTCGTAAAGCCTGCATAAACCGGAGAAATATTGATGTTTTTGGGGGGGTTTTAATAGCCTGAGGGTATGTAGGTATAAGCACTGAGATATGATCTTAATACCGTAATCAAATATATTAGAATCGCATTTTTGAAGGGACTGGGAAGAGAGGCAGAGATTGCATTCATGGCATATTGGTAAGGATCTAGGACTATCGATCTGAAGGTCCGAGTTCGACTCCCGACCGATGCAATTTTTTTGCTTTTTGGCTGAAGGGTCCAAAATAATCTCTGCTAGCCTGCCTTGATTTCCAGTCCATTTAAAATCACAAATTCACTGTTCAATGTCCAAAATGAGGTCCTCGTCCGAATCTTCGTCAGCTTCCGGCTCTTCACAAAGACTTATAAGAAGTTGATTGGGTACGGTACGGTGGTGGGTTGCCTGATGGCGGCTTAGGTTTGTCTTAAAAATTGAGCTTATGCTTTTAAAGGGGGGCTGGGGGCTGGCAGAGTGCCTTGTAAATTCAGAAAAAATCAGAATTCCTAAAATCTTTCCACCAGCTTGCCCTACCTAATCAAAAAAAAACAAATTTTCCACTTCCCGATCCCTTTAAAATTCAAATACCTACCGGTTTTGACGCCGCATAATTACAATTTGGGCACTGGTGGGGGCGGGCGGAACCGTGGAATGGCAAATGCGCCGCCAGGGCTTCTTGTGTCGAAAAGGCGGCTTCACACAAAGAGCAGCCGGCCACGAGTTCGCTGAAAAATATGGAGTTGATGTGATGAGGCCCTTTAAAACTAAAGAAAATAATGATTTTGTGCCATTAATGCTCCAAAAAGTAGCTAGAATCTGCCCTGGCGATGCTCATTTCAAGGGACGTGCAAGGTTTACGGCGTAATGGAATACAACACTTTCAAGCAGTTCAAAATCTCCGTGAAATCCAGAGCCAAAGAATCCATGTCTATGCCTTACATGGTCCTTTAATCCAACCAGGATCCAAACACGCCTTCAATGCATCGATACCCACCTATTTTCCATCCCTCGCATAGCCGGGATTACGGTAGCCGGTCCACGGCCTGTCGGGCTGAAGGCAGAGTTTTCCGAAGGTGACAGCATCTGAAAGTACGACATAATACACTCTAGAAACAAAATCGATAAAATATATAAAGAAACTGCATAAACTACGTATCGTGTGCTGTTGTGCCTGTAGGGCGAGGAGTACGGTGTACTACCATACTACCAAAAACACAGTAACCCACCGTAGGACTCTGCAAAAGGCCAGCCATGCGCTGTTGTGCCTGTAGGGCGAGGAGTACGGTGGCCAGGTCAAATTGTGGGGCCTGGGGAGAGAGAAGGGGGATTGGAGAGGGGAGGGGCGAGCAGAGACCGCTGCCGAGGAGGAGCAGGGCTTCTGAAAATTATTTCCTCAAATGGTCTCTGCTAGATGGCTTTTTTGAAGGAGTTGGTATGGCTTGCCTACAGATTTTTTAAGTATTTTTGCTTAAGCGCAGCGACGCCATACGCAACGTAAACGCTGCTATTTCCACTACGTAAGCGATTACGACGACTTCAAGGAGGTCAACAAAAACGCAGTTTAAAGGACCATACAAATATTCAAAAATCACCGTACCTAGTCCCCTAAAGGGGTTGGGAAGTTGGGTGTTGATCTGGGGAAGGGCCTCCTGCTCCGAGTCCTCAGTGTCGGAATGGACTCCACTATCGGCTGATGAAGCCGAGGATGCCTCGGAGAGGGAGGAGGGCGAGAGAGTGCTCACAGGAGAAGACTCTGAAAGAACCGGTTGTTTTATTATTTGCTTTTCGCATTTTTCCGTAGTTTTTGAGTTTTGCTAAACTAAACTTTCGCTATTTTCTTGCTTAGGTTTTGAACACGAAAAAATAGTACAAAAGTCTGTATTGCGTGGGATTTAACCCCAAAGAGCTCTTGGCAAGGCTGGTTCTCATAGCTAAATGGTAAGGCTCTCGCCTTTCAGCCACTCGACCCGGGTTCGAGTCCGCCGCGGAAAATTTTTTGCTTTTTGTCCTTGTGTTGATTAAGGACGGCGAAAACCTTAATTTTGGCATAACTAAAGCTTCGGCCATTTTAAAGGGACTAGGAAGCAAAACTGACCATGATACCGTACAACAAAATTCGGAATTGCGTGCTCATGTGGGAATCCATGGAGTCGACAATGTTCCTGGACAGCCTCAGAAGTGTCGAAGGGTAATCCGCAACCACAAGAGAAGGCTGGCAGGCCGTGGCGGGACCCGGCGTGGATCACGAACATTGAGAGTTGCTCGTGCTCGAAGGGGCAGCTGAAAAAACGGGATTGTACTAGTGCAGAGATCGCTTAGGAATTTCAGGCTGGCTAGCGCAGATTCTTGAGGAATAGGAAGGCAAGCTAGCAGAGATTCCTAGAAATTCAGGTAACCTTGCAGAGATTCTGAGAAAAATCGAGGCAAACTAGCAAAGAACCTTGTGGAACTCGGTAAACTAGCAGAGATTCTTTAGGAAATCGTGCAGAAAAGGCAAGCATGCAAAGATCCTTGAGAAAAAGGAGGGTGTCTAGCAAAGATCCTTGAGGAACAGGGCATGCTAGCAGCGTTTATTTGGGGAAAAAAATTGATTCCTCACATCTTACACCCATACAACTGCACCATCCGGCGACTTGGCTGCGGATTTTGGAGCGTCAAAAGTGGAGGAGAACACTGAATAAAAAGAATAAACTGGTATTCCGCTTTTCCTACCGTAATCGGTTCGATTTCAGCCGAATTCCGCCTGGCGTCAAATGCCTTTGAGCGGCTGTATTTTGAGACGACTCGAATCCCGTGGGTTTCTGAATTTTTCGGTTTTAGATCACTTAAAATTTAGCCTACTTGCAACATGGCGAATCAGATCTGCCTTCCATTTGCTTGTACGGCTACAGTAACGGCACTAAAAACAATATTTTAGCTAAATTATTTCCTTTGATTTAATAATTTAATTTATTGTTTTGAAATCCACTTTAAATACACCAACGACCCAAAAATCGATACCTTAAACGGCCGCTCCGCCGTATGGACGCGTTTATGGCGTATCATCTCCGAAACCCACTTCCCCTGATAGCCACAAATTGAGCAAGTTCGGGCCGAGACGTCCGGATCCGGGCCGGTGTTCTCCTGAAGAATCGGGCTTTTGGGTGCCTTGAAAAGGGAGGAGTGATATTGACAATCAAGCAAACATTTCCTAGGGATGGCCCGAAAACCGGAAAAATTGATAACCGGAGGCCAAAACTCACTCTGACATCAAAATGATCATCCGGGCTGACGATGGCTTCATCTTCAGTAAGGTATCTCCCGGCGGGGCCTTTGCCCTCTTCCACGCGACGGGCCACGAGTCCATCAAGGGTATTCGCTGGGTTTGGGATCTGAAGGAGGTTTTTGATGTTGCAATCGTTTAAAAGTGCTTGTGAATAAGAGCGAAACGGAAAAAACGGTACCTCGGCTCTCCGTCTTTTACGTCCTTGGCTTTGGCATGCTGGTTGCGGCGACATAGTGAAGTAGTACTGAAAGAAATTTTGGTTCCAGAGAAAAAGAGAGAGAGAGAGAGAGAGAGAGTGCGAGAGAGAGCATGAGCAAGAAGCAACCGACTAAAATGCAGGAACCTGATGATAGTTTTTAGAGACAGACGGCCATGGAAAAGAGAGATAGAGAGGGAGTACGAAAAAGTGGGAGAGAAAGTGGGAGAGAAAGAGAGAGAGAGAGAGAGAGAGAGAGAGAGGGGGAATGCACGACAGCAAGAGCTAGGGAGGATGAAGTGCATTAAATGACAAAAAATGCAAGAATATTACGATAGAGTCGGTATTTTTAGAAAAAGAAAGAGAGAGAGCGAGAGAGAGAGAGAGACAGAGAGAGAGCGAGAGAGAGAGAGAGAGAGAGAGAGAGAGACAGAGAGTGAGAGAGAGAGACATAGAGCTATAGAGAAAGAGAGCAAGAGCGAGAAAGAGAAAGAGAGACAAAGAGAGAAAGAGAGAGATGGAGAGAGAGAGAGAGAGAGCGAGATAGAGATAGCTAGAGAGTGATAGAAAAATCATCATGGTATTACGATAAATTTAATTTGCAAGAATTGCAGAGTCTCCTCCAAGCCCGATTCAAGACCCAGGTTCTGCAACAGCAACATCTGAACCGTTTCCCCCCGCTGCCCCGGCCGGTCCGTCATTTGGAGAGGGATGCCCTTCTCATGTCTGTCAGTCTGTCTGTTTGTAGCACTGTTTGTCTGTCTGTCCACTTTTCGAATTCGGGCTTGACCATGGGCCGGTGCCGGGACCGCCGCCTGGAACGCTGTATTTGCGCCAACCAACGCCCGTTTGTGTGGATCGTCTTTTTGCGAGTTTTTTTGCGTTGGTCTCTCTCTCTCCCTCACTTCTCGATTTCGTGAAAGCCAAACAGTTCGCGGGGGGAGGAGGACCAGCGGCGGCAAAAAGGCAGAAGCGCCGGGGCAAAAAGGTCCGAAAAACGGGCCCCCGACCCCCAGCCCTTTGCTATGAGTCGATTTGTTTGCCGAGCAACTTGCCCTTTACCGCCCTGTGGACGGCACTCTCAATCCGATGGATGGTCAGTAAGGGAATTATTGCAGAAATGGGGGAGGGGAGGGTCTAGCAGCGTTCATTTGGGGAATCTGGGACTGGTCGGAGAATGCTTGTGAATACTGCCATATTCATGAATTCTGGGCCTTAATTACCGTCTATGCCCTTTTAATACAGTTAAAATACCGTACTCCAAATCAGAGGGCGAGGGCAGGCTAGCAGCGTCCATTTGGGAAATTGGGACTTGCTTGGACGACTAAAAGAACCGGAAAATTGCAGCAAATCACGTGAATTTCAAAAAAGTTGGAAATCGGGTGCTTTGAAAAGTTACTGCCCAAAATCCGGATTATTCCCGCCGCTTGCCGTATGCAGAAACTACCAAAACAGCCTTGCGAATACCTTTAAATTTTAAAAGAGATGGTGTTTATCGCTTCCGAGCAAAATAGCAGAGATCCTTTAGGAAAAATGTTGCAGGCTGACGTAGGATAGTTCAAGTACGGTCATGCTCAAACACTAAAAAATCAGAAGTACCGCACCTCAAGCTTTTTTATGTTAAAGGTCGACCAAAATCAGCAATATTTTGAAGTACAGTACCCTAAAGGATATTGGATAAGGGGATAGTTGGTACATAAAATCAGTCAAATTCGGGTACTGGGCTTTTAGCAGGGGGTCCGGCGGCAGAAGAGAACCTCCCCCGCTATCAGTCCAGTGCCGCTAAAAAACTTCAACTTCCATCAGGCCTTACAGTACCCCAAAACAAACAAAAAAAACTGGAATGATGATTTTTGATAGCTAAAAAGTTCTCCAAATTCCATCCAGTACAGTAACCCTATTTAAAAAAATAGTGCCGTACTCTCTAGAAGGTCAGAAGCCGCTCCAGGACGGAATGCCGTCCGGAGGATTGTATTGGAACATTGGGCTTGGTAGCTAAAAAGTGCTCCAAATACCATCTAGTCCTACAATAACTTCAATTTCTAAAATAGTACAGTACGCCCAGAAGGCCAGAAGCCCCTCCAGGGCGGGAATGCCGTCCCGACGATTGAATTGGAACGTCGGGGTTTCGGGATGGGGTGTATGGCCTGCCCCCGGTATGGGTCCTGGCACGGCCTGTTTGCACGCGATCCCTCCAGCCCTCTCGCGCGCGCGAGCCCTTTGGAAACGCAAACTTTTACCCGCTTCTTCTCCCCTCTACGGTGGCTCTTTTTTTCGGTTTGCGAGTTGCCCTATAGGCACTTCCGGGTCGTGTGGGGTGGTACTGGGTGGGACCTAACATTGGCCACAGCGGGGGAATGGTCCATTTGGAATCTGGGAAGGTTGAAGTAGTTGGACCTGGGCTGGACCCTAGAACCGGTGATTCATGGAGGGAGGGTTTGCCCTTGGGGAGTTTAAAGGGACGGTGACAGGTAGCAGAGATCACTTGGGAAAGCCGAGTGGTTTGGAAACCCCTTTAAATCGGCGACAAGTCAAGGCAAAGCTGAGAATGAGAAACCTCTTGCTCCTGGCTAGCTTTGTCCGGAATTTGGGGCAAACCAGCGAGACCATTGGAGCCCAAGAGGGCTAGGTTTAAAGCAAGCAGCAAGTTCCAAAGGAGCTGAATTTGGGGAAAGCTAGCAGAGACCATTTGGGAAAATCGAGCTCGTGCTCAAAAGGGCGGTTTGAAAAAAAGAGGCAAGAAAGCAGTGATGCTTGAGGGATTCGGGTGGGTTAGCAGAGATTCTTGAGGAATTGATGCAGACTAGAGGGAGATGGAGAGAGAGAGAGAGAGAGAGAGAGAGAGAGAGGGAGAGGGAGAGAGAGAGCGAGAGAGAGAGCGAGAGAGAGACTCAGAAAGAGTGCAAGGGAGAAAGAGAAAAAATGTGAATGGGCGGAATACCCTTTAAAAACAAATAATCCAGCTACAGTACCCTAACGAAATTCTAACAGATGGCGAAAAACGACTGAAACTATGCGAACTAAGCAAAATCCATATATTTTACCTTCCCAGTCCCTTTAATCCCAAAACGGGGCTTCCCAGGGGTGCAGAGAACGGAATGGCATGGCATCAACCTCCAGAAGGCCCACCCCTCGCCCTTCGTCCCTTTTTTCTTCTGGTTTCTTGGAGGTGCCAGGTACGAGACTGTCCCTTCCTTACCGGATGGCCCCTCTATTGTGTTGATAAGCCATAGCCACCCTCCAAAAAAGCACGAGGAAAAGTGCTGTGTGCGCGTAGCGAGGGGGGGGGCACCCATTTTAGGCATCGGAATGGGTATCAACGAGGGGTATTTGCATTAAGATTGGCCCATTGAAAATAGTATGCCTAGGAGAAACAAGAGATTTTCAGCTATTTTCTGAAGCTTCTTTGCTAGCTGGCTCTTATGAAGCAATTGAGCGCCAAAGAGAGAAATGGAGAGCACGAGAGAGATACGGAGATAGAGAGCGAGAGAGAACGCGAGTGTGAAAACGAGAGAGAGAGAGAGAGAGAGAGAGAGAGAGAGAAAGAGAGAGAGAGAAAGAGAGAGAAAGACAGCGAGTGAGAGAGCCAGAGAGAGAGAGAGAGAGAGAGAGCGCGAGAGAGAGCGAGGGGTAAAGAGAGAGAGTGCGAGAGAGAGAGAGAGTGATAGATAGAGAGATCCAGTATCTCCCAGCTGCCGGCCAGAAGCCTCCAATAATCCTCCCTTAAAAATTGCGCCTATAACGTCAAGAGTAGCCTAACGTACTCCTGGATCGGGGTGTTCCGCGCGCTTTAAAACCTGGCTACGGTAGTCGGATCGAGATTCCTAACGCCGCCTGCTTGCAACGGTCTTTTAAGGACTGGCCAGGGGGAGAGAAGAATTTTGAAACTGTAACATTTTCGCAAAAGCAAGCTCCTTCGAAGGTTTAGAAGCTACGGTAGCAGCCTATTGTAAGGTGCGTACTTTCCGTTAAATCCCATCCCTTGCAAGCCCCTTTAAAATCATTGCAAATGGTCAGTGGGGGCGTGATGCCGTGTTCGCGGTATATTTTATCTCCTTTTCTCTCTGTCTCTACTCCAGATTCCAGACCCCTAAAAGGGCTCGTGTCTTTTTTGTCGAATCTTTTTGCGGTGCCAGTCGGTGTCTTGAACCAAGTTTTTCTTGGTCTCTTATCACCCCCCTCATCCGAGTTGTGTTTTTTGCAGCTGAACCCCCCTCTTCTCTTCTTCTTCTATTGGCCATCCTTCCTGGATGGCACCCCTAGGCCGCCGTCAAGGGGGGAAAGAAACGGAATCAAATCTCCTATTCCTGTCCAGTCGAAACCAGTTCTCAATCGGATCCCCCTTGACTCTCGAGATTAATGGCTTCTTTGCAAAGGGTCCAGGGCTGCAATCTATCCAATTGCTGTGTTGACCCTGTTTTGCGGGGATTAAAGGGACCGGGAAGTCAACACAAAATTAGAATTTCTGGCAAAAAGTCAAGATTCTGATCGGCCGCGATTGTCCATGGTATAAAAATAAGAAAATTCCGCTTCCTAAAAAGGATACGTCAAAAGTCTCACTTCAAGGCTCCTTTAAAGGTACCAAAAAGTCCACGAATCGACCCTCTACCTCGACTAGGCCTCGACAGCTCCGCATGACGCCATAACACCAAAATATACATGTAGTAGGGCTCCTAATTTAGTAGCTTGATTTTTTCCTAAGGGCGATGAGGGCTAAAAACGAATAAACGTGTCAGTTGGAGCCCAGCGTTGTCAACACCTAGTCACTACCAGTGGTCGACCCTAGCCCTTCTTAGCCCCTTTAAACCGAGAGAATCACCGACGAAACAGGCAAACTAACAGAGCTCCTTTACTAGGCTTTAAAAATACCTAGAAAAAGAGACGAAATAACAGACAGGAGGGGAGGAAACTCTATTTTCAACATTTTTCGTGTTACTATTGCGCAACTAAAAAAAATGTATTTTCTTGATTTTATTTGTGAAAATTCCAAGGACTGATCCAGAAATACCCATATCAACAAAAAAAAAATCAATATAACCCGTAATTGGCTCGCTTGTCTACAGCTCTTCTTTGGAAAACACGGGCAACCGCGTGGGGCCAGCCTCGAAAAGTGTAGCCGCCTCATCGCTTTCCTAAATCGTTGCTTTTACCACTTTACAAGTTAAATTAAATCAATTCAAGATAAATTAAGCGTAAAAACTAGCGTTAAATAATATTAATAACGTTTTTATGGTCCGTATTTTTAACCTACTTCGTATGTGACGATGCCGTCGTTGTCGAAATCGAGGATCCACGCGAAACCCGGGTCTCGTCGGCGGCCCTTTGACTGGAAAATGTTTATAAAATAATTAAAAGTTATTAAAAGGATATAAAATATCTATAAGGTGCCAAAAATTAGATAAAAAAAACTAGAAAATAAGCTTCCCATACCTTATTCGTCTTCAAACCCCTAGCGGCCGCCTCATCGCGCTCCATCACCCGCTCAAATTCCTCGACGTCGATTTCCCCATCGCCGTTAATGTCGAAATACCTAAAAATTATACAATTAAGAATTTAAATTTTCACACTAATTTTAAATAATTATTGAACTAATATACTTGATATAATATTTAGCCGCAATCACGTTGTCGACGTCCTCGTTTTTCCATGTCTTCCCGAAATTTTTCTTCATCCCCTCCGACCAATCGACTAACTGAAAAAACACCAGCAAAAAAATCAGATGATCCATTCTAACAACAAAAAAACAGCATTTCAAAACCCACGTCCTTCTCCGTAATCTTCGTGTCGTTGTTCATGTCCAAAAATCTGAACTGCTCGGCGTGGGAATAGGGCGTGATTGAGAGGAGTTCGATCTCGAATAGATTAATATTAATTATACCTTGGCCTTTCGTTCTTCCTAATCTCTGATAGCTACCCACTTTTTCAAGTAGGCAGACTTTCTGATGGGTTTTCCTAACTGGACGACCTTTTTCTACTTTTTACGAGCCGTGACGAGCTCTTGTTCATTTTTCAAGCCCGTAGACGACCTTTTGCTGTTATTTTCTTTTCGTAGACGACCTTTTGCTCATTTTTTCAGGCCGTATACGGCCGTTTACTCGTTTTGATTTTTTTAGCTTACCTGCATGGTCAACCAGTGCTCATCGTTCGGCACAAATTTCCACACCCTGCTCTTCCCCTTCCGGCTCAACCGGTAAGGAATGGTGATCTTCCTCAACTCTTCGGCGCACATCCCCGAAATACCCTAAAATGTGTATTTTACAAATTTAATTTATTAAGCCACCTTATCCAACCCTCGCATCGCCATCCCCACGCCGAGTTGGATCCGGATCGGAGAGTCGCCGTACGATTGGGCCACCTTTTTTCCTTCTTCGGTGAAGCACTAAAAATTACGATTCTATAAAAATAAATTGTATATTTATGAGCAATTTGGTTAAAAAATAGCTCACCTTAAAATGCAACGTGATAAAATCCTTTCGCTGCGCTTTCCGGTCGCATTGCGCGGCTTTCCAAACGGTTTCTATCTAAAATACAGCATCTTAACTTGTATTAAAATCAATCAGTAATCATAATAATATAGCGGTTTCAATCATTTTAGCCTTACTTTTATATCCAACGGGCCACCGTTTGAGACCTCTTCCAAATGACGAATTTGAGCGGCAGACATCGGCTTGCCTTCGCCCCTAAAATCCGGTAAAATCAATTTTATGATTTGATAGTATAAAATTCTAATAAATTCTTGTTCAGTTTTATCTATTTTACCTAATTTCAACGACCGGAATCGTGTCCTCCGCTTTTCGCTTGCCCAGGTGGGTGTCGGCGTTGACTTCGATGGAGCATCGAGCTGGAATAAATGGATTTAGCCAAAATTCGTGTTCAAAAGTTCTGAAAAAGTGGGTTTTTGTTACCAAAAAAAAGATAGTAAATTTTACGCTCAATAAAATACGGTATTAACTCAGTAGAGTCAAAAAACTGGCAGCCTCTTCAAAACCTTTTTTGAGGAAAAGCTGACAAACCTGATCCAGCCCACGCGGCTAGCACAAGTAATAGAAATCTCATCACGAACAGGTGTGTGTTCGTCTGCAAGAATGGATAAGGGGAATGGGAGGATTGGAATGGACAGGTCTTTCTGTCTGTCTGTGTGTGACTGTGAGTCGAGTATTGGGCGATGTGACCCCTCGGAATGGATGGAGGCCGAGGTCAGAACCCCATTTATTCATCCCCCCCTAGGTGCTGGGCACGAGGACATTCAAGAACCCCCGCTCTCCCCTTCTCTTATGACAAAACATGTCCCTACCTTCGTGTCGCATCGATCAAGTGAATTCATTAGAATATTAAGGTACCTATAGGTCATATTAATAATTTTATACCTTTCTTGAAAGTATAGAAAATTCCTAAAAAAAAATATTGAAATCTTCGCATAAATTGTTATTGATAAACAATGGCTAAAAATGGCCAACAAATCCCAAAACGTCTGAAAATTTTGACCTTTTAGTGAAACAAATCCACTAAAAAACTACAAAATATCCTAAAAAAAAATCCGCTTGTTCTTTGGGTAAAAAACGCTACATCCTATTAACTACCGCGCCTGAACTTCCGGGAGCGACATCGAACTGCGGACGAAGCTCCATTCAATCCTGCCTGCTTAGTGCATAAGGACGTTGAAAGCGTGATTGGTGTCGTAAGATTTCGTAAGAATTCGCCCAATTAACCGCAACCGAAAACACGCATTTTCAGGGCTTTTCACCCGTGTTTTTGAGCACAAAATCCCGCACCTCTTCCTCGTACTTCACGATGAAATCGTGCATATCGTAGTCGCCGAGCTCGAGGATGAGAAAGAGGGTGTGTTGTGGTGCTAGCTTGCTAGACCACAATAGATCCTCTTTCCCGGCTGTCCCTCCTATCCAGTGGGTAAGCCACCGGCGCGCGCCCCCTGCGGTCGCGTCGCGTGCGCCACTTCCCGCCTAAGACTAGATTGTATTATCTCGTTGCGGGTCCACTTATCGGCACAGACTAGCTCTGTTGCCGATCCTCCTGCCACCATTTATGTAGATAAACAGTTGTTCGATAACTGTACGTCCAAGCGCATTCTACATCGTTCGACTACTCTTTTCGAGGATCACAACAACTGGCGAGCAGGATCAAGAACTCACGCAAGATCAAGGGATGCCCCAGCCAAGAAGCCACTCGAGCCCGAAAACGTGATCAAGGATGAAGAAAGAAGGTGGAGAAGCGCGAGAAGTCAAGTCAAGCCGACGAGACAAGGACCAAGAAAGCGACAAGGTCAAGGGAGAGCGACAAGGTCGAGGTCAGGGACGTCTACATGGTTGGCAAGCGACAAGAAAGAAGGCATGGCGAGAAGATCAAGGAGCAGAGCGTGCTGATGCCGGCGGGCCCATCGATGGATGATGTGCCGGTGCCGCTCGTGCAGGATCAATGGAAAGGGAGGTGTTTTTTCCCCTTTTTGCCCCCACATTTCCGGGTGGAGGGCACGCTGCCGTTGTCGAAGAAGGAGGATGGTGCAAGTGCCTGAAGTGCCCGGCGACCGGCCGCCGTTTTGCCCCAAGGACCGCCACAAGCCGCGAAGGTAGCAGAAGATGAGGAAGTTGGTTAGTCCTCATCCACGAATGGACCGAAGGAGGTGCGCGTGTCAAGCCCAAGGCCGCGTCTACAAGTGAAGCCGAAGAAGGAAAGAAGGATGATGGCCACGTCGTGTTCGTGCGCGTGTTCAAGGTTGAGGGAAGGAAGATTGCCACGTCGGGTTCGTGTGCGTCGTAAGAAGAAAATAAGCAAAAATAAGTGTCATCTTATTTTTTGGTGTGTATTTCCATATACTGTAAATCCGGCTAAGCCTTATTTGTCTCTCCTGTCCCAATTTCTCCTAGGAACTTGTACTTTGTTGTTGTACAAGGGGAGGTGTTGTGGTGCTAGCTTGCTAGACCACAATAGATCCTCTTTCCCGGCTGTCCCTCCTATCCAGTGGGTAAGCCACCGGCGCGCGCCCCCTGCGGTCGCGTCGCGTGCGCCACTTCCCGCCTAAGACTAGATTGTATTATCTCGTTGCGGGTCCACTTATCGGCACAGACTAGCTCTGTTGCCGATCCTCCTGCCACCATTTATGTAGATAAACAGTTGTTCGATAACTGTACGTCCAAGCGCATTCTACATCGTTCGACTACTCTTTTCGAGGATCACAACAGGGTGCTTCCAGGTTATCGGGGGTCGGTTATTTTACCGGGGGTCGGTCGCGAACTTTTTTTCTATAATATCGTGCGGCTCGGCTAATTAAAAGCTGGCCGTTTTTATAGACTTGTGCGCCGTTTGAAATGGTTCTGGACTGTTAGCGGGGGTGGAGACATTAAGAAAAACGTCATAAAACCTGTAGAAAATTTTTTTTCTTTTTCGGTCTAACGTATATGAAAATGGCTAAAACCGCGCTATAACCCTAGATTTCGTGACTATAGGCTAAAATTTTTTATAATTTTTGATTACCGGAAGCTACTAAAACAGTATTAAAATAAACTACAATTTATCACTAGCCAGGTATAGGCTAAACAAAAAGAAGATGCCAACCGACCCCCGCTAAAATAACCGACCCCAACCTGGAAGCACCAGAAAGAGCTGTGTCTGCGTGTCAATCACCTCGTAGAGACGGCGATCAAATTTTGGCGTTTTCGAGGTGTCGAAAAGCGGGGGAGAAACTAGAAAAGGTATTTGCGAGTTCTTCCAAGGCAATAAAATGGAAAAACGTTATTTTCGAGTTTTTCCAGCCTCTGTCCAAAAAGTCTATTTGCGAGTTATTCCAGCGCAGTAAAATTCATTGATTCTTGTGCTCGCGTTTTTTTCCGCGTATAAAGCCAAAAAATGTTGATCTTCGTGTTTTTTTCTCGGCATAGGAAAAGTCCAGAGGTTTATTTTCACGTTTTTCGGCGCAGTAAAATCCAAAAAGCTGATCTTTGCGTTTTTCGGCGTAGGAAAAGCCAAATAACCTGATTTTCGCCTTTTTCCAGCGCAGTACTCGTTTGTTCGGCGCAGGAACATTCAAAAAAAGTTCATTTTCGTGTTTTTTAGCATCGAAAAGCTAAAGAACTTCAGTTTTTAGGTTTCCAGAGTTAGTCAAGCAAAAAAAAAACCCTCATTTTGCTTTTTGCAGTCTGGATAAGCCGGCAAAAACCAAATTTTATAGTTTTGCAATAGAAACGGCTTTTCGGGGCCCTCATTTTAATCGAAAAACTTCAAAAAAAGGCCATTTCTCCGCCGTAAAAAAAGGGTTTTGACACCCTGTAGATCTTGACTTTTTCGCAGGTTTCCTATGGAAAAACGGCAAACCTGCTCCTGTGTGAAGACATGCTTGGCCCGTTTGACGATGGCAAAGTTTCCCTGGCCAATCGTCTGCTCCAAATCGTAGAGCCCGGCGATACGTGCATCTAAATGAGCATCATAATTCTGAGAATTGCTGGGTAACCGTGTTCATCGTCTCGATCCCGAACAAACTGACCCCTTGATGTTCAGCGATTTCTTTCGCTTTGGCACAACGTCCGTTGTGGCGGCCCTGCCACCTTGCGCAACCACCGAGTGCGCCCTGCAAAAACTTGATTAAAAAGTCAAAAATATTAAAAAAAATGGAAAATTGAGAGGCGGATCGATCAAAACAAACCAAAAATGAATCGGGGACTCTAAAATGTGGCTTTTTATTGGGTCTAAATCATAAAAGAATCATCTAAACGTGGGAAAGACAGAAAAACCAAGATAATCAAAGCAGTCGCAAAAGATAAAAGAATTTTCTCAATAAAACCACGCGGTAATTGTACTGAAAAGGGCAAATATTATACTTCGCCGCCCACCCCGGGTGGGTCCCCCCTGGGACTCACTATGTCCAAAATCACCCCAACCTCCGTCCCCAACCCCTTTTACTAAGGAAAAATCTTTCAAAGTTAATTTTAATAATCTAAACTAAAACTTTTTTGCAATTTTTTGATCAGTTGGGGGGTTTCTGACCACGCTCTATCCGAATCCGAGGAGACCTAAGCTCTAGCTCCTTTCCCCTTGGAGTTGAATTCGGGACACGACGGACGGACGGACGGACGGACACGACTACTTTTTTATTATAGTTGATTGTTACAAGAATACAAGACGTAGGTAAGTCGGTCACTAAATTTCAAGAAAGATATATCGAGAACTAGCGGAGAAAAGTAAATGATTTGAACGCGGCAAAAATTTGAATGATTGCCTGAATAAATTTGAATGCCTGAATTACACTTTCTCTGGAAAACCAACCAATCCAATACAAAACAAAACATTTTCTACGTCTTACCACTCAACGATGGTCAAAGTTTCACCTAAAAAACGTTCATCAACATCCGGTAAGGCGAATTTTATCGACCCGGAATATATCAACCCACAGGGCGAAGCGGTCGTGGAGGTAGCGGAACGAGTGTGACCTCCGGGAAAATCAAAAGATCTCCGAAGAAGCCAGGCGCCACCCCGGTAAGAATAGCCGTTTAGATCAACAACAATTTATAGAAGTACCCCGGTCGAGAAGCTGTCACCAAGCAGAAGATGATCAACCCTGCCGAGGCGCCGCCTATCCACGATGAGAACCTCACCCCCGAGGCCATTCACGACCGCGTCATCTGGGCGCCCGGCCCCAACTGGAACCCACAGCCCGCCACCCAGTGGGATATGATTTGTCTCTCGGAGCCCCAGAACATCCGACCGTACCCAGCGCCGACACCGGGCCCATCACCAATTGTACGGTTCTTGATTCATTCAGCCACCCTTCTTTTAGCACTACTCACCGCAATTGGCCGAGGAGCAAGAGCGCCTCGGTTGGGCGAATTACTTCATGCAGGGACAGGTACCCACCTATATTCATCCCAAACTCATATCTCAATTTAGTGCATCGGATGCGGCCACGAGTACAAGGAGGGTCGTTTCACATACCTCTGGTGTTTTGGCTGTGCTGCCAACGCAAAGTGAGCACAACGATGATGATCGTTTGACCTCCAATTTAGAATCGTCCGTGCAGGCCGCGTCGTGCCCTGTGACCAAAAATATTACGGGTGCCGTCTCAACGCCCAGCTTCCCTTCTTCAACCCGTCCCTTCACTTCAACGCCCAGCGGCTCCTCGAGCGGTGCGTGCGTGCGCGTCTCGGTAATCATTCCTGTAATTCATCAATTCAGCTTCTTTTCAGTGCTGGCGTGCCCACATTGCTGGCTGTCGCTCCAGACGCTTGATGTCCAGAACAAGCTGATCAACGGCTAGCGGCAGTGTCAAACCCCTCTTGCTCCCTTAACCCGGCTGATCTCTCTCGCTTTTCTCTACTATTATGTGATGGTTAAAGATTTTGGGTGTTCTCCTCGGCTGCTCCAACCCTTGAATAAATATACTTGTGAATCCAGCAACTTCAAACATTACATGAAATCCAGGTATTTAGGGTCGAAAAAGTGAAATATGTTACCATTTTGCTGGGCCCTGAACTTTATGAAAATCCGGTGACCGGAGAGCGACGCGCTAAACTACAAACCAAGAGACCGGTCAACGCAGCATTTATTCGAATAGGGTACGACCATTAATGAGAAAGAGGAGTGTAGGCAGAGAAATCGAACAGAGATGCCCGAAGAGGCGACGGAGACAGAGTAGTAGAGATAGAGAGAGACGGACAATTAAAACGACAGGCAAACACGGTGCTGTGCGAAGAGAAACTACAGACTACACAGGCGACACATTGCACGAGGATACACGATAATGGGGGGAGGGGATCATAGATCCTACTATATAGAAAAAAAATAGTGTTTGTGTGTGTGTGTGTGCGTGCCACTTTGCATCCACTTCCGTCTGTCTGTCCGGAGGATATCTCGATACGGGATGAATTTTAAGGTATTTATGATACGTCATTAGGTGCGTAATGGCCTGGAGATGACTGCACGCATATGAGATTTAACAAAATCGCCTATTTTCGACATTAAATTTATGTTTTTGTGAAAACTTCTTTGTTAGGCATAATTAGCATAGACCGGAAGTTGGGATTCGACTATATAAATGGACAGCAGTGATTGTTTTTCATTTTTTTGTCATCCGAATTGAGGACAATTATGCAAAGCGAAGGACAGAATGGGGTCAGACGGGGCCAGGGTTCGGGGGCCAGGGTTGAAAACTCGAAAACTAAATAAATAAACGCAAAACACGCCATTTTCGGTGATTTCATCTCACGTAGACTTTTTCGGGCTGCCGAGTGGTCGCTACATGACGAAAAAAGTAAAAACCACCGGTACGATCATTAGTAGGCCTTTTTCAAGGCTTGAAACGGTCAAAAAAATCAGTAGAAATGGGCTTTTAGAGGAGCTGAAACAACAAAAAAAACTCGTCAAATAACATAAAAAGGCCCGAAAAGCCTCCAGAAATCGTCTCGTAATTCTCATAGTTTTCAGGAGGCTCAACGACTACTAGAAAGCCTTTTTCGAAAGCTTAAAATAGTAAAAAGGTAGAGAAAACCACAAAAACAGGCAAAAATAGCGTCAAAAGCTCGGGAATGGACTTTGTAATTTTTCGAGCGTTCTGGCGGCTTTATGAACAGCAGAAAGGCTTTTTTGCAGAAACAGGAAGCAGAACATGCAGACTTGCAGATTTTTGCAGAACAAAAACAAGGAAAAAAAACCCCATAAAACCCTGACTAACGCACTTTCGACAAGCCGGCTACAGCGTGTCGGGCAGTGTGAATCGACAATACAAGATGCGGGTGAGCGTCTCCGAGTCGTTCGTCTCTTGAAACGGCAATCGACCCACCACCAGCATGTACAGGATAACGCCCAGGGACCACACATCTAAACGGAAACGCCCGTGAAGGAAAGAGGGGCAGAAAATTGACCGACGGCCGGCGCATCGTAGGCATCTCCGAGGAGAATCTCTGGTCCTGAATAGGCGAGACTGCCACATGACGTCTTCAATTGGGTGCCCGGCTCGTAGTTGTTCGAGAAGCCGAAATCTGTCACCTTCACCATGCCCAATTGCTTTCCGGGAACACCACGTTTTCCGGCTGAAAAATCGACCATACGCGAATGTTCTGGCAAACTGGAGCTTTTGCATTATCAGGGGGGGATAGACCACTTACACCAGAACTAAAGTTTTTTAATAAGATAACTTATAAAAGAAAACTTTTTAACAAGATTAAAACCGTAGAAATGGCCCGTTTTCGACGGAATGAACACTTCTCAACGTTTTTACCTTAAATTCTGGTGGGAAGACTATTAGATTCTTTCGCATTATCGGGCGGGGGGTCTAGAGATGGCTAGCAAATTAAAAGAAAGTTATTTAATTTTGTAGAAAAATATATATTTCAAACAGAAAAGCTATCCAAAAATTTTCCGAAAAACGAAATTTCTGGCAAAAAACAGCCATTTGTGGTCGAAAATCGTTTTTTGTATGATTTCATACAAATTTGTAAAGTTGTCACGTTTAAGAATTGTAAAAACGGTTTCGAGCCTCCCCCCGATAATGCGAAAGATCCAATAGTGGGCATTGCAGCAGAGATCCTTGAGGAATAGCCTCAATTCCTGCTCACCTTGAGATCTCGATGTACGACGTGCAATTTGTGGCAGTAAGGCCAGATAGCCCCCTCCTCCCCAGTTAACCTGCCAGAACCATTTTTTTGTAAAATTTAAAAATACTTCTAACAAAACATTTATTACGCACTACGGGTAAAAGCGGGGGAGGTAATAATACTTGGATTGTTATTATGTCGCGCTATCACAGGCTACAATTAAAGCAATCACAGGGTGACAAACTGGGAACGTCATGGATCCGGAAAATACAAAACCAGAGCAATTTAGGCCGTCTTCTTGCCGCCATCCTTGAACCAGTCGTTGCTGTTGTCCTTGGCCATCGCCTTCTGGAGAGCAGCATCGGCGCCCGGGTCCACCTGAAACAGTTCGATACAATTATTTTCTACGAAATTGCCTGTGACAGCTCGCCAAAGCCCTCCTGACCGACAAAGCAGATCTCGTGCGCGTCCTAAAATTGTTCTAAAGGTTTGAATTTTGCAAATACCGGATCTGCAAGGATAACAACTTGAACATCAGCTTTTCCTGGAGTTTCCAGCGTCACAAACGGCTTCAACACCTTAAAACCGGCGCCCTCGATGCGCTTCTCGAGATCTTTGAGCTAAAGTACGGTTTAGACGTATAGAAAAGCCGTCTCCACCTCTTTTCCCGGATACGCGAACGCAATCCGGCCATACGCACTGCCTCTGTCAATCGTTGCGCCTGTTTTGATTAGCTGCCATGCAGCCTGGTCCTTTTCGTAGGCGAGGGTGGCATGATTTTCTGTCTGCTCGACGACTGGCATCTTTAGGTGGTTGTTCCAGTAATCTAAAAAAAACTCCAGAAATATCTTTTGTGACATTCGTTTCATCTCCAAAAAAAGGAAAAACATGTTTTCACAAAATTACCAAGGCTGTTCTCCAAGTCCTTGACTCTCACAGCCACCTTTTGAATGTCTAGTCTACCATCACCCGGGGCGATGATGAACAGGTGACCATCCGGATCTTGGAGATGCAGATTTCCCGAAACTAAAAACCAACTTTTTATTTCTAGTGAATAATACCTGTCTTGTCGACATTCTTCTTCGTAATCTCATCGTAGATATTGCCGCCCGAAATGGTGATCGACTGGAAATACACAACATGGCCCTGCGCCAGATAAAATGTTGTGGCGGGCAAACAAAATCTTTTTGGGCTACCGGTGATAACGCGGACCGAGCCGACCAGCTAGATTCTGCCCCCTTATTTATTGCTAGCACCAAACGACGCAGATTTCTTTATGTAGTAATGTCCAAGCGGTTTTTTATGCTTTGAAATCTCACCTCGTAGTCGTTTCCCAGTTTATAGCCACCAATTGTGTAATTGTAGGTGAGCTCGAGCACGAAGTGGCTGCTCTCAGCTCCATATCCGACCATCGTCTTGCTCCAGAGTCCGTTGTAAGGTCTAATTCGGAATCTCGGAAGAAAAGAAGAAATTGACTACCCGTTGCACTCGGCGGCGCAGCCCTCCTGGAATTCTTCATGGCGCAGAATCTGAACTGGAGCGTTAGAGGTAAGGTTTTTAAAAACAAACCTTCATTCCAAGCGTCTTCACGAAGAAATCGTAGGATTTCTGGCGATCGCCAATCTTGAAAACGTAGTGCAGTGCGCGTGCAGTCATCTCGAAATTGAAAATCTGATAATTGTATATCTTTCAAATTTATATAAAAAGCGGATTGAAAAATAAAAGAGTTAGAAATTTTTTTGGTTAATTTTAGTACGCAACTATACTATCTACGGTTTCCGATAGTACAAAAGTTTACGAATTACGGTCAATGGAATTATTTTCTAACGTTATTTGATGGATAGGAGTTTCTTTTTCAATTTCTAACACTTTCTATTACTAAAAAACTGCGATATTTTTGTTTTGAAGGATTTCCTAACACTAGCTTTGAGTTGTTTACATGCACTTGGAACCAGTACTACGACCCGGAACACCAGTTGGAACGGGTACGCGGGCTACTCCTTCCTTCTGGATCCAATGCCCCGGGCGTCCATTCAGCTTTTTCCTTTGCCGGAGCCACAACCATGGCCGCTGTGGCGTCGGATTAGAAGATGACCGTTCGCGCGCTTCAAAAATGGAATTTTGTTTTTGAAAAATGGGAGATATACTTTGCATCCGATTTCAAGAGAGCAGTTTAGAAAATTAATCACTTTTTTGGCTCTTACCCACGTAAAATCCTCTTCTAGCTTCAACATATTTGAACTGCAGAGCCCATCATTAATTTTGCCGATTTCAGAAGCCTTTGCCGAACCGTTTTGAAAAGTCAAGGGCGGGCTGCGGGACGTTCTGATGCCCCCGAAACGGATTCTACGAAAGGTTAGGGTGGAATGGATCGCAAATTGTTGATGGCTGACATTATTTTACAAAAAACTAGGTGCGAAAAATTGTTTTCAGGGGCGGGCCGATGCCGCCGAAGCGGCACGCGAGCTACCGGAGCAGATCAGCGAGAATCACGTATGGAGAATCTACCACCTCTCCCAAGTCGGCTGCTCGCAACACACGCTGCCCCAACCGAAAACCACTAACTGCCACTTCAACCCATATTGTCTACAACGGATTGGCATCGAGAAATTTGAAAAGGCAATCAAGACGCATGAGGTCGATCATAAGAAGGTATTTTTTTGGTCCGACCTGTTGAAAAATAACTGATTTTCAGGCGGAGAAAGATTTGGAAGAGCGAAACCTGGTCGAGAAGCCGTGTGGGCTTTTGAATTCGGGCAATTTCTGTTATGTCAACAGTTTTCTTCAGGTTGGTGTTTGGCTTTTTCGGTAATGCCATTTAGATCTGGTTCAACGACCCGCATTTTCGGCAGATTATTTTTGATTGGCGGCCTTCAGAGGAATATATTTCGTAAGAATCTTATGATTTTGCTTAAACTCGTGTTCAGGCCTGAACCGCCACGGCTCGATGTCCAGAAGGTGATGAACTGCTTGCAAAAATTGTTCTACCTACTTCAATATTCTCCCTTGGTATGATCGATGGCGTTTCTATTGTATGACGCTGTTTAGGATACATGTGCTGTCAAGGAGTTCACAAGCGCGTTGCGACTTGGAAACGAGCAGCAAGACGCTCAAGAGTTCAGCCTCATGTTTTTCGATGCGCTCGATCGCCATCTACTCAATCACCCCAACGGACTCGAGACGAGGAATCGAATTGTCGCGCATTTACAGGTAATTCACGGCCTTCAAAGTATTACTATTAATGATAATTTTAGGGTTCAACCACCCAGCGTATAACTTGTCGCTGCGGCCGAGACAGCAAAACGGAAACGATGGTGCAATCGCTCCCATTATCCATTGACAACACCAAAACGCTCACCGACATGCTACAACGATATTTTGCCACTGAAGAGTAAGCTTGCGGTTTTTGAGAGGATTTGGGATGTTTTCAGTCTCGAAGATTATATGTGTGATCAATGCGGGGAGCGGGGCCACGTTCAACGTCATCTCGAGATGGAGCGCTTCCCGCAAGTGCTATTGCTCCAAATTAACCGCTATCAATTCGACGCGTGGGTTTTACTCCGTATTATGCTTATTTTTGTTTTTAGTAACAATCGGAATAAGAAGATCAAGACGGCCGTCCAATTCCCGCAAGAGCTTGAAGGTGACGCGTTGCGGCCCGGATCGGATCGAAAAACAGGGGTAAAAATTGACAATCGGATAAATTTCATTTTGGCATTATAGATCAAATACGATTTGTGTGCGGTGATGATCCACGAAGGCGAAAGAACGGAATACGGCCACTACTACGACATCATTTGGCGCAGTGAAAATGACAAGTGGTACCAATACAACGACGAGGTATAAATTTATTACTTTGCAAAGGTATCTTTTTTAGGTCGTCACCGAGGCAAAGCGCCCGGGTGTCAGCATCGAGAACGCCAAGAACCCACCATCAAAGCCGGGCCAAGATCTGAAGTCCTGTTACGGTAAATTTTCCAAAATTGCTCGTCTATTTTGACTAGGTCTTGTCTATCGTCAACGAAAATTCGACCCCGAATACAACATGCCGCCACCGGAGGAACTTTGGAAGGCTTGGGAACGAGAGGTGGGCTTTATCGTTTACAATAGCCATTTATTTTCTGATTTTAGGCCCGCGAAGAATTCAACGAGAAGAGCGGAAGAACTTTGCAAGAGTCGCTGGAAGGGCTCGAGGAGATGAAGAGGCGCCAAAAGACTGTTTCAAGTCTTTTTGCCGAGCTACAGGTCTACTGCGTCTATCTTCACTTATTTTTCTCTTACAGATCATCCCCAACAAGGAAAATGAGTACATCAACAAAAAGGATCTCATCTCTTTCCTGCCGACGCGGCTTATGATTGATTTGATAGGTATGTTTTGCTAGGCTGCTTCTAATTTACTCTTTTTAGAAGCGGAGTATCGACGGGGCAAAGCGAAATACGATTGCGTGATGGAAAAGGTGAAAGGATTGACGCCAACAATCAAGGTATCTATTTTGGCAAGAAAAAAAGCTGTTTTTAGGATCCGGATGAGGAGGCTCTAGCCGCCGTGGAAGACACAACACACATCTCCCGACAGAGCAAACGATTGACGCGTAAACGGATGGCCGAAGAATTAGAGGAGAAAAAGCGCTTTTTCGTCGAACGAATGGTCATCAGCAAACATCTCGGCACTTACAACATCCTGCTATGCTCCCACGGAAAGGTCGACATCGAACAGGTACTTTATTATTCGGTTTATGAGGTTTATATCTGTCATTTCAGATGATCCGCGGCGACGTGAAAATTGTCGACGCAACCGCCGTTGAAGAGTTGCTCGACCGGTACCGCATCCTGATGCATTATGAAAAGCGCGATCCGCCAAAGCACAGAACTCTTCGGGGGTAGAATTTTTTTCTTTTTCTTTTGATGTCATCATTTTCTAGATGGGATGTATGTCGTGAATGCGTCGAAGAGCTTCGCCATGAAGCCTATTCGATGGAACAAATCGAACGTGACGACAAGCTGGCTTCCACCGTCCTCAAGGAGGAAAAGATTCGGTAGTTTATTGATCTCTACAAATATCATTCAATTTTAGCTGCCCTACGCGAGTCGCCCCAGCTCAGGGATTTTATTATGTGTCCAAGAAGGCGTTACAAGCCTATAAAAAGCGCGCGCTGAAAGAGGAAGAGTGCCGGCGCAAATTGCACGAACAGACGAGCAATCTGGTCTTCTATGTCGAATCGAGCGCAGGGATCACTCCATCTACGGTAAGGATTTATATTGTGTATTCCTTCGATGTTGTTTGTTACGCTGATCAAATTTTTTTCAGCAACCACCAGGGTCGAAAAAAGCCGCTTCGCGACTTTTCAACCCTGGCCCCGTCTGAGCCCATGATATCCTGCACATTGCATAATTCGGCCGAATTTCTATGAGAAATAATGAAAAATTCACCCTCTCCGCCTTTATATAGGCTGTCACCACTTCCGGCTTATGCTAATTAATTCCTAACAAAGAGGTTTCCCGATTTTGTAACAAACATCGATTTTTAATGTCGAAAATAACATAATTTGCAAAATCTGATATGCGTGCAGTCATCCCGGCTTCATTACGCACCTAATGACGTATCATACATAGCCTAACACCCTTCCCCCCTTGAGATATCCTCCGGACACCCTGACGGAAGTTGCATGCAAATGCACACACACACACACACAAACACTATTTTTTTATATATAGTAGGATAGTAGGATAGAAAACTATATTAATACATTTTTTAGAGCCAAATGGTCACCTCGAAGCGAATTCGTACGGCATCACATTCCGCGAGCCCAACTGTCAATGGAGGAACTTGCGAAAATGCAGCGAGCCCGGGATCCACAATGGAAGTCGTTGGCGAAGAGAAGGCTACGTGTTCGTCACCAGAAGCGGTAATTGATTGAATACAAGCGAAAGCCCTTTCTTCTTAGGCTTTCGACCAGGATGTCAGCGCCACGCTCGAGAGCATGCTGGAGAACGTGACTGTAAAAGTGCCTTTGTCCCCATTTTGAGACTGTTGTTTAGGCAAACGTGGATGGCGTGGAGGAAAATGGGACGGACGCAAGCAATAAGAAGATGAATGGGCATAGAAGGAGGTCTGTTTTAAGTGGTAATTGGTTTTTTTACAGTTTCAAGGCTCAGAAACGATGTGTAAAATCTCTATTTGCAGTCCAACGCCTATCGCTGGAACATCTAATGGCCATTCAACACCCGGTGAGGACATGGAAAATATGGAATTCAACCACGAGCTGCGCTGTGCCCACGGTGTTTCCGACGAAAATTTTTTAATCTTTTTTTTAGGAAACCTAAATCGAGAAGGACGATTGGCGGTGTCTCCCGAAGAATGGGAGCGCTTGCGGTCGAACTTCCGCGCCTATTACGACGTGCCAGTTTCATCCCCTAACTGTAGCGAATGCGAGTACGATGCTCATGTAAGAAATTATTGTTCTTGCAGCGTATACCGAAATTTTAGGTAAAAACGCTAGACAGCGAAGAATTGTCCTACAAAGTGGAACAACTTGTCACACAGGTAAAAAAGCTTCTTAAAATCTCTATTTCTCCATTTTTAGCTTCCGGAGCTGATCAAGGGCTACGAGGGAAGGCGGCACTTGTCGAAGACGGTGCTGAAGCGGGACTATCCGTTCCTTGTCTGTAATCGCTTCCTCGAAAAGTTGTTGAAGTTTTCTAAGTAAGTCCGAATTTAAACCGGATTATACTTTTTTTTCAGGGCTGGCCGTAATCGTCGCCTCGTGACTAGCTTCGACTTGTGCCAGAAATGCGTGTTGTGCGAGAGCCATGGCCTTCCATTCATCAGTATCGACCCGGAAGTGCTCAAGGTATATTCGATATTAACTTTTCACTATTTTTTCTAGGATATGGCCTATCTAATCCCAATCAAACGCAAAGAATGGGAGGTGATCGCTGAAGTGATGGGACGCGGCGACATCAGTCCACCTCAGGAGATTCTGTACACCGAAGGGGGTAAGCGGTTATTTTCATTGGTTTACTTTCTAACGTGGCTTTTGAAATGCATTTGCTATGATTTTTAGCAAAAAAAATCAAATTTTTAGATTATAATAATTCATACGCTTTTCTCAGACATTGTCGACTTCTGCCACGACTGCCATGGCCACCATCTTCAAGCCTACAACGCCAAGCAGTTCACCTACAGGAATGGGACCGTCTATGTCAAATTGGTAGGCATAGTTCATGCTTTTCAATATTTGATTGCTTTAGCAAAACGACCTGCAAGAAGCGCCCACCACCGGCCAGACGACCCGCCGCGCTGCCGCCAAACATTTACTCAAGTGAGCACCAATACTTTGACTTTATTTGTCTTTTAGGGTAAAAATGGACAGCTCGGACACTGTGCGCGGGATGAAGGTAAAGCTGTACCAGCTCACCCAGCACAGCCCCAACGATCAGATGTTGATGCACTCGGTACGCTTTTGAAATTGAGAAAATTTTGCCGTTTAGGGTATGGAGCTGGACGACGATTCGACGCTCGAAGCCCTACGAATCCTGCCGAATAATCAGGTATACTTTTTCGATCCTTGCGCATTATCGGAACCCGATAATACCAGTTAGTTATCGCAACGTTATACATAGCAGCGATTTTCACAAGGTTTTTTTAGTAAAATTTGACAGGATTTTAGCGGAAATCCATTTTTGGTCAACGACTTTCAATATTTTTTGTAGAGTTTTTACATAAATTAAAAACCAGTCTGAAAATATGTTTTTCTTTACCTTTGTGAAATTTGGTCCGCGATAATGCTAAAGCACCTTTTTTTATACCCCCGGTTAACTGTGCTTCTAGGAGACGCCGGTGATCCTCGTCGCCCAGACCTACAACGGAAACGTCGCCCTCCCCGATGAGCCCCGGGCCCCGGAACGAGGCTTCTCCGACACTGCCCTGGCCCATTGATCATTCGGTTGCTATTCGTTTCCAACTAGCTCTCCTTCACACCGCCTTTACCTATCAACTAGTCAATATTCCTTTTTGCCTATCCCCCTCTTTTTGTGATATGTCTTGCACCATTTTCTTTGCCTGATGCTCACTTCCCCGCACGCATAATATGTGATAAACCCTGTGTACACCCATTCGCGCGTTTAGATTCGGGAAATGGCCATGGCCGGTATTTGACCCATTCACCATTCCATTGTCGATTGTTCTTTATGTTCTGCTCTCATTGCTCAGCTCAACGCACGACGGTTATGTGGCCTTTTATAAATAATTTATACGGAAGAGTATACATTGAAATTGAACGTTACAAACCACATACTATGCGAACGCGCTGATGGACCAGTTGCTAGAAGCCCGATTCGAGCTTCAGAAAATGATGGAAATTTACAAACATTTTTTGAATCTGCGGCTTGTGAAAGAGGTGAAAAATCAAGGCGCTTCATCATATGCTGCTCTTGCTGAAATTGATAGTCACTGGGCTTCTCCTTTCCACTGGGATGTACGGTTTTTGGCGGAAGATGCAGCTTCAATTTTCAGCCCGCAGACGCTGCTCGGTGTGAAGAAGGCGAGCAAAGATCCGATCCCCGGTCATTCCTATGAAACATATCCGGTGGCCGAGCCCGCGCCTGTCAGGTAATTTCGCTAAAAACTTCTTTATCGTCTTCCTAGATTACTCATTGTATTGAAGACTGAAAAATACGAGTTTTCTTAAACTTTCGATCTTTTAGAATAGAAGTTTACGGCCGAGCCCTACCGAAGGCTGGCTTCTTCTTTGCTGCCGACTGCAACGCTTCGCGACGATACGAGGCAGCAACGACAAAGACGAATATACTACGAGATGTGCCCGATGGTGATATAGTGACTGTGATTTTGAAGGTGCGTAACCTCGTTTTGGTTTTCTGGATTCCCATGATTTTCAGGTCGACTTCACCGATGTCCCCGATAACACCCTACTCCAACTTTGCCATAAGACGGACCCCGTGAAGCCGGTTGAACTGGTCCCTGGCTCGGTAGGAATATTGTTCCATTTTTTTTGCATCCACTCCTGCTTTTTCAGAAACCTACAACTCTTCTAATAAAAAGCGAGGAAGGCGGGACGCCATGGCAAATCATTGTGCTCATCTGTATCGTGTTGGTGATGTTCTCGGGTCAGTTGGGCTTCTTCTAGGATTTCTGTTTCTTTTTCCCTTTAGGCATCTTCTCCGGGCTCAATTTTGCGCTTGTCTGCCTCTCCGTGAAGCATCTTGATCTGATCAGCCGATACGCTGCATCAAATGATCGGGTTCTCCTTCTTTTTTATATTTATCTATTTTTTAAAGAAATATGCACGTTCGTTGATCCGGCTTCGTAAACACGGCAACCTGATCATCTGCACCTTCGCGACGCTCAACGTCATAGTCAATACGGTTTTTGCTCTCGAATCCGAGAAACTATTCCCGGTCAGTATAATTTTTAGTCAGCTTGGGAACAATGGCGTTGTAGGAACGTCTCGGCCTCTGGGGCGCTGTTCTTGGTCTCCTTCTGCCCACCTCAATCATCGTCGTCTTCGGCGAGTTGTTGCCCCAGGCCATCTGCTATCGTCGTGGCCTTCTCATCGCATCGAAGACGCGCTATTTCGCATGGGCCTGTATTTTTATACTCTCCCCGATCTGCTGGCCACTCGCGAAGCTGATTGACGTGGTCCTCGGGCGGTCAGTGTTCAAAATATACTAATTTACTATAACTTCTTCAGCGACATGGCCAAGTACAACTTCGAAGAGGCCCAGGCGCTTTTGGATCAGAATATGCGGAATATGCCGGGCGAAGGGATCTTGGCGAAGGCAAAGAAGCTACAACGGACAGTCGTCGGCTCGGTGCTGACCACGGTTGACCAGACTTTTCGTCTTTCGGCGGATGATGTTCTTGATGCACAGGTAAGGATTAAACAGTTTTTACCATGTTTTTTTCATGGTTTAGATGCTATCGACGATCGCCGAAAAGGGATACACAAGAATCCCGATCTTTGATGCGAATTGTGCGATCACGCGTTATGTGCTGAACACGAGGGTATTCTTTGGCAATAGGGCATCTCATTTTGTCAAGGACCTGCTGACGATCACCCCCAGCCCCAAACTCACAATCAAGACCTACCTGACGAAGCAGAGCCCCGCCAACAAGCAGGAGGTTCCTTACATAGCTCTAAACCAATCTAACGCGTATTTTTTTAGGTACGCGTTGTTTTGGCGGACGCCCCTGTTAGTGCGGTGCTGCTGGAGATGCTGCGCAGCCAGAACCACTTCTACGCGGTCGTCCGCTGCGATGCGGGCCCATACCAACTACTCGGCTACGTCAGTCTCGAGGATTTGATGGAGGAGGTGTTCGGCGAAATACAGGTAGCATACGTTACGAGCTGCTTTGGAAACACAACAATTTGAGGATGGCTCGGATAGTGTGTGGTCGACGAATCGGCGAGCGAAGGGGCACGAAGATCAGTCTATCCTCGATTGGCTTCGCGAACCGATTGGCCCCGGCGAGATTCCGCAGCACGCCAAACTCAAGCTCATCCAGGTAATTCGGGCGATGCGTTTTTGATTACCTACAACTTTCTGCAGATTCTCTTCTCCTGCGCGCCAATTCTCAAACAAATGGGCTTCGATTTCCGCATGGCCCATCAAGTCCATACCCCTTTAGGAAGCTTTGATTATCATCATTTTTAGGCCCTCAACTCATCAGCCCTCTTCCGGGCCAGCGCTGACGTTGTCGTCTCCAAACAGGGCCAGCCAAACCGGTACGTCTTGTTGTACTAACACTTCCATTTCCTATTTTTAGACGCATCATCGTGCTCTACTCGGGCTCGGCCAGCATCAACGGGAAGCTCGTACAGGCTCCGCACGTGTACGGCGCGGCCGTCATCGAGAAGTTCCTCTCCGGTACTCCCTGTTTCCTTTGTAAAACGTTTCCATTTCCGCCTACCTGTTCGGAACCGGTTGTGACGTATCGGAAATTGCCACCGGCATCTTTGAAGTGAAAAAGGTCTGCTCGAGGAAAAGGTCTGCTACTAACCTTTCTCAGGATTCCATCTTCTACTGTCTGACCCCAGAAGACTTCCTCAACCAGCTTATCTCATCCACGCGTAAAACATTCGCCAAAGAGGTCTGGAAAGATTCGTTTGCCTTGGAAGGAGTCCTTCTTTAGTTTCTTATCGGACTGGCTGGCGAGAATAAGCATGGGCCGATAGTAAGACCACGCGAAACGCTGCCCGAGCCGTTCGAGCTGGTGAGCAGCTTTTAAATTCTAGAAATGAATCCGATTTCCAGTTGAAAGACAAATTGCACCCGACGGAAAGCAAAGGCGGGGCGTGGCGTCGTGCCGACCCAAAGCTGCTTGAGAAATCCTTCCGACTGAAGGCTCCGCCGGATGAAACGCAGGAATGGACGACAGTTGACGAGGAGGACCCAATATTGGTCAGCGTCTTCTCCAATTATTTTATCTCACCTTACAGGAACAACTTGATGCCACCCAATCAGAAATGGACAAAACGCCGACGCCCGTTTCAAGCAGCGTCACCAGCGTGCGCTCTAAAAAGGTTTTAAGGCTCGACGAGTCGTTTTAAACTTTTTTAGAAGCCAGCCATCACTGCCCTGGCCCCAATCCTGCGTCACGCCCACGAGCCCGTCGTGCCTGGCGACGAGGAACGCGAAAAGCTGATCAAGCATCAAGAAGTCAAGAGCGCCGATAGAGTACCTTTATGAGGATGAACTAAAAATTTAGCTTCTAGACCCTGAAAAAGAAGAAGGCGGAAGAAACGAAGCACCAAGAAGTGAAAAGCGCCGATCGGGTATCTTGAGGAGTATGAACTCAAAATTTAACGCCTAGACCCTGAAAAAGAAGAAAGCCGAAGAGACAAAGCACCACGAGGTCAAGGGCGCTGATCCGGTCCGTCAAGCCTTTCGAAAAAAATATTTTTGATTTAGACGAAAAAAGAAAAGAAAAAGTTGCCGGAGGACCCGCAGAAAACTCGCGACCCCAGCTCGAAGCAACCGTCGCCGGTTCGTCCCAAAATACGGCGTACCAAACCGATATTCTCCTTTAGAACAGCACCCTGCAGCTGACTCCAGGTCACCCGCCACGGCAGCGACATCTGAATCGGCACGGCCGAAACGCCCGAAAAAATTAATTCTGCTTTGTTGGAGAAAAAGTGTATGTGATAACATGCATTCTTGTGACCAGCTGCTAATAAAATTTGCACATATACAATATACATCGCGAAAAACCGGAAGTCAGCTCTGATTAACATGGGCAGTCCCATACAAAGCGTAACACAGCTCTTACAAGCGCGTTTTAATATATTTGTACTCGACTTTCTATACTTCTTAATGGGAAACGAAGACATCATCAACTTCCAAGACGGAAAGGTGGGTATTTGCGCAGATATATAGGTAACCTTCTATTGTTGCAGATTGTGAATCGGCGATGGAAAATACTCAAGCGGCTTGGTGCTGGGTCTTGTGGGGCCGTCTATCACGTTCAAGACCTCGACAGGCCAATGGTCGAAGGGGCTCTCAAAGTGGGTTGTCGATTCAGCACACAAACACTGTTTTTAGGCAGAGCGCAATAACCTGGAAGACGGTGGTGTGCTGAAATTGGAGGTAAACCACGGAAAGTTCACTAATCGTGGCTTTAGGTGGAAGTGCTGCGCAAGCTCAGCCACCGACCGCACGCCCTCCAACTGATGGACGCCAGCAAAAGACCAAACTACTCGTGGAATATCATCGATTTACATTAATCAATCCTTTAGTTATATGACAATGACGCTGTGTGACAGAGACCTAATGGCGATCCGGCAGTACCTGCAACAGACCTACAACACCAGCTTCTCCACCGCCTCCATCCTGCGCATCGCCGTCCACGGGCTGTACGCGATCAAACAGGTCTGTATCGCCTTGAATGTGGCTCCGTACTCGGGCTTCACAATTTTTTGCAGTTCCAAGAACCTAGGTTTATCTAGATCCATGAGGTACGGTATATCCATCGCGACGTGAAGCCGGGCAACCTGGTCACTGGCAGAAGCGGGCGCGCACGAAAAATGGTCTACTTGATAGACTATGGTAGCTTTGCCTATCTTGATGCGTGCCCTCATTTCTGGTCGCGAAAGTAGCTGACCAATTTCAGGAATGGCGCGCAGCTACGTGGTGCCCGGCGGAGATGCGCTGCGGAAGCCCCGGAAGCACGCGTTGCTCCGCGGAACTCTGCGCTACGTCTCGATGAACGTCCACGAGCGCAAGGAGCAGGGACGCATGGACGATCTATGGGCCCTGATCTACTCGCTGGCCCATCTCTATGCCGGGCTGCCCTGGGCCGCGGACAGGGTGAAGACATCTTTCTTTCCCTTATTGAATATTTAGGGCTAAATTGTCGTATCCGGTCACTAAACCGATTTCGGTCTTTTATATGTCAAAATGCTCCGCAAGCCGAGCTGATTCAGGATCAGTTGAAAAAACTTTTCGGAAACACTTCTGTCTCGAGATATGACACTTCAAAGTTTGACTTCAACCCGTTCATTATATAACCTGTTCTCGCCCCTATAAGTCCGTTTTCAGTGCGGCAAAACATGGATCAGTGCTCGATAAGAGCTTAGCTTTACTCACCACACCAAGTTTGAGCCTAAAAATAAGGCTTCGTGCCACCCCGGGGCCTAGTCGCTTCGGATGGGTGAGAGCTCGTACAGGGTTTCGAAATCGGGGCGCCCGAGGAGCGCGCAGCGCCCAGGCGCCCCGATTTCGAAAGAGTGGAGCGGGCATCCGAAGCGACGGCCCGCCTTGCCCGACAATGTTTTTTTTTACACAGGGAGAAGTCCGCCAGGTTTTGGCCACGTGGCCGCCAGCTTCCCGCCTGATGGCCGCCACATGGCCGCCACCTGGCCGCCATGTGGCCGCCACGTGGCCGCCATCGGGCCGCCGGGTGGCCGCCACCTGGCCGCCGCATGGCCGCCATCGGGCCGCCACGTGGCGGCCAGGTGGCGGCCAGTAGGCGAAAATCCGGCGGCCACATGGCGAAAAGATGGCAGAACGGGGGTTCCCGGGCCAGGTAATGTTCCTTCTAATATCGATTATTATTAATGCTAGTGCCGCTACTATGCATTGCAGCCATTTAGGAGCAGCCTGCTTCATGTCGGGGATGCGCTGGAGGTGTGCCTGCCTGAAATATGGCGGGTTTTTTTAATTCATCGTTTTTATATTTAGCTCTACTTTTTCTATGGAAACGGTTCTCGTTTTACTTCATACACATACTTACTTTCATCAGTGACCGATGTCCATTGCGCAGACGTAGCCGAAGTTGTAGAAACAAAACTAGGATTATAGATATGGACCTACCGGACATGACTTACTTTTTTCACCGGCGTGCGAGCAGCAAAGTATCAGAGTCTTTGAGCAGCTCCTTCTGTTGCAGCCAAATAACCTATAGATGATTGAACCTTAATCATAGACTTACCCAGGATGCAATGCATTAAAATAAAAACTCACGGTTCCATAAAATAGAAACCAAAACTAAAACTAAAACAAAACTAAAACTTTTTCAAAGAAACCAATAGCAATTGCTTACTTACCGAAATGCCATCTTCCGATGCTGTTTCCGTCACAATAATTGTCTTTTTATTTGAATCTATCTAGAATAATAATCCTAAAGTAAATACAATACCTGAGAGAACAGACTTTGGTGATTAGTCAACGACGTGGCGTTTGTTTTCCATCTAAATAGCTAAAACTCGCAGTAAAAGTAAAGCAGAAATCAATTTACAAGCGTTTATAAAAAGTTTCATAAAAATAGATAAATTTAGCTTTGATGACAACGAAAACATTGACTGAGGCCCGAAAAAACGCCCGAGTCCCCAGAGCAACGCCATAGTACTATCCACAACTGGCGGAAATCGGGCGGAAACCTGGCGGCCACCGCCGCCAGCTTCTGGCCAAAAGCGGTACGACAGTGTACTAAAAACCCCTGGCGAAATTCTGGCGGCCAGGTGGCGAAAACCGGGCGGGCTGGCGGCCATCGGGCGGGAACCTGGCGGCCAGGTCTGGCCCGATGGCCGCCAGGTTTTCGCCAGGTGACATGGCCGCCTTCAGGCGAAAATCTGGCCAAAAGCTGGCCAAAATCGGGCAGCCTGGCCGCCATCGGGCCAAAATCTGGCGGACTTTTCCCTGTGTACCCAAGAAACAGCAATTCCCTACCATTCCGTTCTTTCCGATGTACGGTTGGCGTATATAGGTGTATTGCGTACTACGTCTCTGCCTGATTTGAGACCTTGTAAGCTACATATCTCTCGATAGCGATTTTTCCGAAAAGTTTTTTCAACTGATCTTGGATCTGCTCAACTTACTGAGCATTTTGACCTAACAAACTCCGATTTTCGCTTAGTGACCGGATACTTGAGTAGCTAACTTTGAAGTGTCATATCTCGAGACAGAAGTGTTTCCGAAAAGTTTTTTCAATTGATCCTGAATCAGCTCGACCAGCTGAGCATTTTGACATATAAAAATCCAAAATCGGTTTAGTGACCGGATACGACAATTTTCCCATATTTAGGAGGAGGCGGTCATCCGCAAGAAAAAGAGCTCACTGACCGACGACGAGGTCTTCAAGGTCGGTCAAGTCCCACCTACGGATAGATAATATCGATTTCAGGAATGCCCACCGGAATTCACGCAGTTTGCCAAGCAGCTGAGGACCCTGCGCTACGAGGACATCCCCGACTACCACGCCTTCTACCAAATCGTACGGAATTCTAGTTTACCTACGGGATTCAACTCTTACGCTACAGTTGGTGGCCGGGATGAATCGAGTCGGCACCCATTTCACGGATCGGTACGACTGGGAGCCAGAAAGCCAGGTAGTGTTCGTCAACGGCACATGACGGGAACATTTTGGTTCAGGGCAGCAACCAACTGGAGACCTGCATCGAGACGTCATCCCGTGAAAAGGAGACGCATAAACCGCTGCCCCGTAGGATCAAAGCTTATACCAATACAGACTTGTAGAGCCGGATTACGACTACCAATGCTTCCCCAACGTGCGCCCGGAGATGTTCAAGAACACTGATATGAAAATTTGAACTGTTGATAAAGACCTTATATCACAACCCTCACAAATGCATGTTATTGATTGAAAGAATTCCCAAAAAAAGTTTTATTGAATCCACACTGAAGCGGCACATAAACTTGCAAGTGGCTGTATACCCGCTTGGCGAGATACGAAAGCGGAATAAGGATGGAACAAGCTGTGAATGAGGCATGGAGGTTAAACACGGCACAAAGCTCAAAAATAATTGGGCCAGACAAAATAAAAAAAATAGCAGCTGCAAAAATAGATACCGTGGTGTTAGAGTAACCAGCTTTGGTTGAGACCTTGCGGCGAATAAGGTTGAGCATCGGGAGATAGAGGGACATCACTGGAATCGCCATAACTTGCTCCCCACGAATTCTGTCCGGTAGAGGGTCGGGAATAAAGCGACTCACACCGGCTACCGATTCCACTGGAGGCCTGGAAAGAAAAATAGTACCAGGAAAATGAACAAACCGAGGGTAAATTGAAGGCCCAGCTGGAGACCTTAGACGTCACTGACGATGGTGTGCCCGGAGCCAGCGACATGTACTCGGTCTTGTCTTGACGTCCAAACTAAAAACTAATTCAAATGCGCGCGGGCGGCACTCACGTTATAGTGATGTGGTGTCGGTACGAACGTGTAACTCTCGTTGCCGTCGGCGTCACGGATGCGTTTCATGTAACCTAAAAAATAAATGAACGCGATCAAGAAAATCAGCTAACCAGGAAGAATATCTGCAGGTGGACCTGACGAAAGTGTTGTATTCCGTGGACTAGCACGTTCACGGGCGCTTGGTGTGGATACGAGACGGGGGATAGGCGGCAGCACGCTGCGGCGGGGGATCGACTTTTCTTCAAGTTCCTCGTCCTCTTTTGTATTCAGCTCCTGCGGTCCGTGCGCGTACCAGCACTGGGGACCAAACCTACAAAAAAATTTGGTGCAAGTGCTAGACGATTACCGGCAATTCGCATCGGCCATCCAGTAGTCACAAAGGGCCGTCTTGTACAATCCAGGGTTCTTCCAGATGCGAGCATCGCGACGAGGCGCACTAAAAGTAAATATACCAAGAAAAATAAAAGATTTGTACCGGCCGCGCGAGAATTCGTTGACCGAGCAGCGATTGGCTTTGAAGCGTTCGAAATGAGACATCTCCGTAGCTTCAACTTTAGTTCGCCTGAAAAAAGGTACTCAAGTGCGAACTTGGGACAAAGCAAACAAGGAAGGAATTTTACGAACCGAAAGAAATCGCGAAACGGAGAAAATTGAAAAATTGTCCTTACCGACTCCTCCGCTGCCTTCCTCAGTACGTTTTATCCGTGAAGGGCCGCGGTGGGACCCAACGGCCTTGCATTTCATTTCGTAAAGTATTCATAAAATTTTATATTTTGTTTTTGTTTGCCTTTACTTTTCACTTTTATAATTTTTAAAGGGATAGGGGCGGCATAAGTCAATCGATTACGCCCGGGAAAGAAAATGTCTCTGCGCCTCTCCCCTGGGCGCCCTCTCTCGCCGCCGGTCGCGCTGGGACCTGTTGAACCCCCCCTCCCCAAGGGGGGTTCAACAGATGCCCCGTCCTCATCTCTTTAAAATTCGTGTACGTATTTACTTCCTGCCTTCTTCAAAGTTGCCCAGTTTCTCGTGTGGCACTTTCTTTTTGCGGTCAGCACAGCTCCCTTTCTTTGTTTGTTTTGTTTTTATGCAGTTTTATCTTCGGGAGTTTTCCAATGTTCCGCGATTGGGGCGGATTTCTTTGCGGACATCGATTCTCTCTTCTTCTAGCTTCTCTGCTCCCTCCACACCCATACACTTTTTAGGAGCAATTCGAAATCCTTTATGGCGTTTCGCCGGTTTTTGGTTGTTTGCTAATTTCTGTAGCAAGAAAAAGACGGCAAAATAATGCTCAGTAGCTGCCCACTTGTAAACCCGCCACCAATAGTGATTTTTCGAAACTCGTTTCTATGCATAGGGCCGTGGAAAAGACCTTTGTAATCCTCTTTAATTTATATATTTCCTTCCGTTTCAATGTTTCGGATGAACTGATTATTTACGCTTCTACGGTCCAACCCCCCTTCTCTGCCCTCTGTCTGTTTTGTTTTTACAGCGGCTTTTTCCGTTCCTCTCCTGTGGTCACCCAGTCTCCAAACACCCTCTGCTTCTAGGTGCCTCGGCTGAGTGTCGATCCCCCGGAAAAAGTGTATGAGCGCAGGCAACATAAGCAACGACCTTTTCTTTCTACATAACTCGTATTGTGAGTTATTAGAACTTTGTTATGTACTTTATCGTTAAACCTTAGACTAAACAGGCTGTCAAGTTTAGCTGTGCTCGAGAAATGCGCTTCAAATGGTGTCTCAATCAATGGTGTCTCGTGTGTGCCCTTTTGTTATTTTTCTTCTTGCGTGGAGAGTAGGGTTGGGGGCAGAAATGTTGTTTTCGGCGCCACCCGCCCAGCGTTGTTTACGCCCCAAAAGCACACCCCTCTTTTTTCGGCACGCCTTTGCGCTGAACTCGCGGACCGATCATAGGATCGCAGCTGCTATCTGTTCGCCTATTCCCTAAAAGTAATAAGATGGTTCTTCAACATTCTACTGCGCCTTTTACCGAAACAGCGGGAGAAGTGGTGCCTGACCCGCCGCAGCCGAAAATCCCTTCTTTTGGTTAGCTCCCCACTTTTTAAATTTTTGATAACTATTTGATAAATAAAATTTTTAGCCTTCAAAAATTTGTTTTCAGTGCATACGACGAGACCGGACCTCGAAAGCTTTGTCGACAGAACGATGCCTTTCTGGACCACTCAGGTATTCAATTCGCTCAAATGTATCTTCATCTTTTTTAGGATACACGCAATGCTATTCTATCCACCCTAGTTCCCGGTGGAGCCGCTGCCCTTGCGTTCGCCACATTCGCCAAGGATGTCGAGACTGTCAAGTGGTGGGAGGTCAGTTTTTAGGGGTTGCTTTGAAGGAATTCTTGAATTTCAGGCCGTCAGAAAACCACAATGGGCCCCGAAAGATGTCCGTGTGTACAGCCTCGTTGATGTTCTTACTATCGCCCCTCTAGGATACGCCTCATATTTGGTGTACAAGAATGGAGGAGGTGATTTTTGTTTCTTGAAGTGTTTTATGGGATTGATTTAAAGGCTTCGACTACAATGACACCCGCCTCGCTCTCGGTCTCTATGGCACAAACCTCTTGCTTGCACTGGCAACCGTTCCGATCGTCAAGCAGCGCAAGATCAGCTGTGTAAGTGTTTTTTATTTAGTTTTCACCATAATTCGCCTTTGTGAGTAGAATTGGTTTTTTCAGCTTGCCACGAACTCGATCTTGGTCCATTTGACGGCCGCCGCAGCTGCCTACGCCTTCTACAACGTAATTTTTAGTCCTCGTGGTTATATAGTTATTTATAGATCGATCGCCGTGCCGGTTACCTGATGATCCCCTACAGCCTGTGGACCGGTTATTACGCCATTCTCACCTGGGCCATCAAGAAAGAAAACGAGATTGTCAAGGATCTCTAAGCCATATATGACACTGAGAAGTTACCTCTCCGTTGTCGTTTTGAACCTCACCCGTAATTTTGTTCCTAGCTACTTCCATTTTTCACATATGTTGCTCTCCTCTGACCTCTTGTCGAAATTATGACGTTGTTTATAGTGGTGCGAATAAATTCTCTGATTGTAGACGACGTGGACTGCAATCCTGTTCACTGACGGGCATCTTTCACACTACCTGATTATAAGCAACACACGCTAAACGAGTTATTAGAAACTGTTCGTCTTCCATATGGCTCAAGCGTACCAACGAAAGGCTGGCAAGGTTTGTTGTTTTATTGTTTTGGTTCTACCTCAGAAAGAGGGACTTCTGATAGCCTGTCCGGTGCTTCCAGGTTATCGGCGGGGGGGATTGCGAATTTTTTTCTATAACCTCGTGCAGGTCGAATATTTAAAAATTTAACGTTTTTTCTAGAGGATTTTTGGCGTTTTTGCCGTTTCAAATAGTTTTTGACTCTTAGTGGGGGAGGAGCATTTTAGAAAAACTCATAAAACATGCTGAAATTGTTTCTGTTTGCTCTAACGGTTATGAAAATGGTTATAAACGAGCGAGGCCCCTAGATTTTGTGGCTGTAGGATAAAAGTTTTTATAATTTTTGGTTATCGGAAACTAGTAAGAACATTATTAAAATAAACTACAATTTATCACTAGGTAGGTATAATGAAAGAAAAGTTGGCAACCGCCCCACGTTAACCTGGAAGCACCGCCTCTCCTAAAAAACCTTGATGACTCCTAAAGTTCTAAAACCTTGATGATTTTCGTCAGGTGTATTTTTCCTTTTTTTGCGCTTGGCAGTCTATGCATAACCGCAGTTTCGGAGCACAGTTCTTGTGATTCACCACTTGCAACTCAATTCCAGATGTCGATCGCCGAACAGAGCCTCCATGATGAAAAATGGGACGATACAGAATTGCTCCAGCGGTTCAACCATAACGTGAAGGGAGGACATGTAAGCAAGAATTGTGTCTTTCTTGATTGTATTGTAGGGAGACACGCCGGAACAGACGCAGGAATCGAAACCGATTGAAGTAAGCTTGAGTTTAGCTTGTTTCTCTGGTTTTAATGTTTTTTTTACATCGGAAAGCCTATGCTTTTCACCGGGTTTTTGCCGGCCACCCTGTCTCGCGGCTATTTGGTGAGAGAGTGCGATGCAGTGGAGAGCAGAGCGTGGGGGCGTGGTTTTGTTGGGCTGGCTGGAAAGGCCCTCCCGCTGCTCTCCCAACGTGCAGCGATGTCCGAGTGGTTAAGGAGATTGACTAGAAATCAATTGGGCTCTGCCCGCGTAGGTTCGAATCCTGCTCGCTGCGAACTTTTTGCTTTTTGCCGGAAAAACTTGTAGAAGGTTTGGTAGACGGAAGTGTGTATTATAAACCAAGAAATGATGTTTTTCTTTTTTGTGTACCTTGCTTTTTGCTCGACAAATCTGTGGAAGGCTTGAAGCAAGAGGTTTTTTATTGCAACCATGAAATGGATTTTTAGTGGGTTGTCGGTGATCGTTGCACGGCTCCCTACTATGCGGATAATATGTTGTATCCGGCCCAGATCACCGGCCTGGATCGTACGCTTGGGATAGCCGAGGTGATAGCAGTTATTTTTTAACAAGCACTTTTTTAGGTTCTTTTCGACAGCTACGGCAATACGGAAGAAGTGAAAATAGCCGACCTGCTAGGGTGGGTCTCTTTGTTCGTATTTTGACATTCTCTTTTAGGGAGGATTATTATAAACCAGATGAGGCCGTCCGAGAAGAAGGCGGCTATGAAGATGAGGCAGTCCGAGAAGAGGGTGGCTATGAAGATGAGGATGACGAAGGGGAGGAAGAGTTTGATGAGGACCAACAGGAAGATAGTGAAATGAAGCCAGTGTCCTCAAAACCTCTTCAAGGTCCGCCTTACAATCTAAATATTTCACATTTTCTTTAGTAAATTCGAAATTTTCATTTATTTAACTTTTATTTTTATTTGTCAACGTTTTTTTTAGATTCCAGCCCGTCCTCGAGCAAGAAGAAGAACCTCAAGTTTAACATGCCGGTAAGGAGCTCGGGAATTTGAATTTCCATTTGAACGCTTAGAGCCCCTCGCTGGCCCCTCCGCCACCGCCGTCGATGTTCATGAAGGACTGCCCGATGCCGGAAAATATGGACGAGGCGCTGAGCGGTATGCTGATGAGCTGGTACATGTCCGGATATCATACCGGTTACTACGAGGCGAGTCTTGATGCTAATTTGGTTTGGGATCGTGATGGGGGACCAGAATTGAGCGGAAGACGAAAACCGGTATTATCCGGCGGCTCAGGCACAGCCGTAAATGACAGTAAATTGTAAACTATTGTTATAGCATTTCTAGCTTTTTAGTTTTACAAACATCACCAGAAAAGCTTTAGTATTTTGAAATGCTGGCTTCTTGACAAAAATCGAGGATAAAATTGAGCGAAAATCGTAAAGTATTCCATTTTTGAAATTTTAAAATTTTTTATGGATATTGGGAATTAGTAGAAACAATCCAAAGAATTTTGATTTTGATTACTAGGCGCCACTAGGCTGCCAAAATTCAACTGTCTCTGGCCCTCCCGGGAAAATGTTGATGCCCCGCTAATAATCCAGTAGCCCAAACCTTTCTGACTTCGGCTTACGTCTTTCGCTCAAAAATAAATTTTGTCATTTCCAGGCTCTGCGGACGATGCAGAAGAAGGGCCAGCAGGCAGGCGAATCCCCACAGAAGAAGGTCAAGTCCAATCCTGTCCGCTGGACCAACGACCCGGATTCCGATCTGTTCGCCTGATTCTCCCATTCCGGTCTATCAGGTCGCCGACTACCCGTGTCTCTCCACCACCATATTCACATCTTGTGATTTTCCAGTCCATCCATCCGGTTGTCAACCTTTGTCACTTTATCTCATTCCGAACAGCGTGTGTTTTTATCTTATCGCACCCTCGCCAACGATAAATAGGCCCGAGGATGCTTTTCCTGTTTGTCTACCAATTCGGAGCAGGGCGGTTAATTGACGGGCGGTGGGGAGGTTGAGCAATGGACCCGACGAATTGGTCGCGTGCCAAGGAGTCGTTAATGAGTTCAGTGCTAAAAAGGGGTGTGTATAGGGAACGATGGAGGTTGGGCGAATTTTGAAGGAGTATGGAGGCGGAAGATGTACTGACAGATGTGCTGATATCGAAAAAATACAGTAAAAAGCACAGTGATCAAAAGTTACAAGTCTAGGCAATCGAGCAGAGATTATTTAGGAGTATTCTAGCTAACCAGTCGCTGACCAGCTTGAGCCCCTGGCTTCAGGACCCTGCCCTGCCGAGATCGATGCTGCTCTTGGGGTTGTTGGTGGTGTGGGGGAGGGCCCTCTCTAACCACTTGGTGACGGGGATGGGGTGAGAGAGAGTCTCACGACGGAGACGACCCGCCCTACCGTAGCGCCCCTCGGGGTGAAGCGGGGAGCGCCGGCGGGATTCGCGGGCCCCGCCCACTAAAGCATGCCTGAAGGGGGCGATGGGAGGGAGTTCTGAATTTCACTAACTCGACTCAGCCCACCGTTTAATGGTTTTTACTCAATCCTGTATTTTTCGGCTGGTTTTCTAGATTTTTCTTTTCCAGCGTAGTAGGGTCCTAGCTTTTTAACGGAATTCTAGTCACCTACACCTTTAATTGCCAAAGTTGATACCCGCGACTTCAAGCCGTTCAAACTTATGCCCCAGCTCCTCCTCCCTCACCCCTGCGTGCTTATTGTGCCCTTCTGAATCGCGTTTTTTTGGAGGGCGGGTGGATGGTGTGTGTGTACAATCAGTGGATCGCGTGCCGAACGGTTGCGTGTCGCGATCTGGGCCTCCCGTTGGCCTGTCTCTGTCTGTCTTTTTTTTCTCTCTGCAACCTTCTTTTTGCATTTCTTAGCAAGGGGACGGGCCAACAATAAGGATTATGAATTTGGGGAATAGAGGTTAAAAAATTTAGTGGAATCTGAGGAAGGCTGGGCCAAATTCGTAAAAGAACTCTGCTAGTTTGCTTTCTGTCGGCTTAGATATCTCATTTTTAATAGATTTTGCATATCTTTCCGCTACGCGACGAATAAAATGAAAGTAAAAGTTTCAAAACTTGTAATTAATTTGAAAATTCCGCGAAGTTCCTAAATGAACTCTGCTAGCTTGCCGTCTGTCTCTATATCTTTCTCTTCTTTTTGTTTAGCCAGCTTTTTACATATTTCTAGCCTTTTTGTAAGTGTCAATAAAACCGGAATAAAATTTACGAATTTTTTAGGTAAATCTGTAAAATTTTGGCGTGGAAAGGCGCAAATTCCCGAAACTCTGCTAGCTTGACCTCAAAATGATTTCTCGGGCCTGAAACTGCTTTAATTGCTATATTTTCTAGAAAAATCTTTCCAGGGCCCCTAAATTTTCCACGATCCCAATCTGCAACCCGCCAAAGTGGATTCGGCCGTCGAGACCAGCATGTACGCGTCGAAGCGCCGGCAGCGGAACTTTAAAAGGTTTTTACATCTATAGTTTAGTTCTGAATTTCACCTTAATATTTGCTAGCAAAATTCCATACTACAAATTCTGGGAAAAGCACGGTAAAAACTTTGATATGAAAATTCCCACGCCACCAGAAACATGGCCATAACGCGCGCACGGGGCACTTGACTTTTTGGGGGTGCTAAATAATGAGAACGGGGCGCTATGTAAAAAGTTGTATCGCGGAATTATTGGTATTAGCCCGGGGGTTGGAGCTGACTGGGTGGTCCGGGGGGGGGGACGGGCGCAGTTTAGTCGGGATTTATACGAAAAATGCAAAAAAAGGGTGCTGATGCTGGGCAGACTCGACTTTCTGAGGTTTGGGCATGGGCATGGGCATGGCTTAGGCTTAGCTCGGGCTTCGGCGTAGGTTTGGATCTTGGGCTTAGGCTTAGGCGTGGGCTTAGGCTTAAAAATAGGTTTCCACTCATTGTATTTCGTACTCCCTCGTAACCCCCTGGCCCCGTCTAGCCAATTTCTGCATACGGTAGTTGGGGCAGTAGGGGGAAGGAGCCGACCAAGATTGATGGCACTTATCTATGCGAATTGGGGAGAGCTTTTTCGGAAGAAGAAGAAGCCGAAGAAGCGACCGAAGAAGAAGAAGAAGCTGTTTGGTGGATGGGGGGAGTACGGTAGGAAGTGTACCCGGTCCTTAGCCGAGCCGAAGATGGGCCCCCGAATGGAGGGGAGTCCTCTTTTGTTCGAAGCATCGAATAGGGAAGGGCCCAAAATGGGACTCTTCGCGTCGAGAGTGGGGGGTTTCACCCCGAATTAGTGGTTTCCGGGAGGTTACGGTGGTTTTTTGGGCGTACTTGTTGAACTTGTTGAGGGACTAGCGCAGAAAATTGCGGAAATGCTAGAATTATCGGTTCTGGACTGTTAGCGGGGGGGCAATTTGAGCTATAGCTGTCTAAAAAAATTGCGGTGTTTTATAGCGTATTTTTACCGAGTTTTTTATAGCGTGATTTTGATAAATAAAAGTCATCAAAATTTTTAGAAATGTAAAATTGTAATTTCTGACGATTTTCAATCTTTTGGAGCAAAAATAAGGTTTTTTCGTGAATAACAATATCCTACCTTATATAATTTTGGTGTGTATCTTTGTGTGTGTGTGTGGATGTCAGTTTCGACGTCCGCTTTGAGGGCCTTCCCGTGTCCAAAACGCCCCAATTCTTCGTCACTCGGGGGAATCGACCCTCCTCTTTCCGATGACGTTCTCAGAATTACGATATAATACAAGTTTACAAAGTTAAAGCCGGTTTTATTCATTTTTGGGGTCCCTGAAGGCTAATTTGCATAATGTGAAAAATAGAAATTTGCTCAACCTTGCAAGTTGCGCTCGCGTGTGTGGTCGGTTGGGGGGGGGGGGTCCGCAGGACCCAAGCTAGCGGAAAGTCAATTTGTCATGCAAGGGCCGCATTCCAGCGCCCAAGGCCCGCGAAGCGGGTTTTGGGCGCTGGTTGTATAATAATTTTTATATATAGAAAGTGCGTAAATTACGATGAAAACATTCTATATGACATTTTTTAGCAACTACGGAAACAGGAGAAATTCATTTTCTTACTGCTGACCACCTTCCCCCCGTTATGGAACCAGAACCGGTAGTTTGGCAGATTTTTGACCGGCTAATCAAGGCAAGCTAGCAGAGATCATTAGAAATTCATGACAGATCGATTGGCGACTTTTTCAAAGACAGGCAAGCTAGCAGCGACCATTGAGGAAGAGCTAAAACAGATGCTAAGTGAAGATGAAGCTGTAGATGAAGCCTTTTCTCTAGTAGAAAAGCTGGGATGGTGGTTGGGTGGATGCTATGGAAGAATGAAGGAATGGACCCGGTGTATGCCCGTGACGGGTCCATCGCGTGTTTGGGCCATCCCTTCCTTCATTCCTTTTGCCGCCCTTTGCGTGTCCATACAATACAATCCATCCATTGATTCTTCTTTCCTAGAAAGGGGGGGGGAGAATGAGATGACACGACACGGCATTGCAGAGAACGTTGGGGAAATTGGGAATTAATGAAGTAGAGCTGGGAGGCGAGCAGAAACCATTGGGGAGTGCGGGGAACTGTGAATCGATAAGCTTTCGGCTGGCAAGTTAGCAGTGATAATTGGGGAATTCATAGCCAGCCAGGCTAGCAGAGGCCATTTGAGAGTCAGCTCGGGCTTGGCTAGCTAGCAGAGATTATTTGGGAAATCACCTGGACGCGCCTCGAAAAAATCAGCTCGTGGCAAGCTAGAGGTGATCATGTAGGAATTGTCGCTTGTTCCTGGTATGCTAGCAGAGATCCTTTGGGTATGACCCTGTAAGCTAGTAAAGTCCATTTAGGAATCAGCTACGTAGATCCAATTTTTTGCTTCGGAGCTATGGGTAGGCTAGCAGGGTTTCTTAGCGATAACCACAATGTTACAGTTCGCAATTTTTCTCGTTTTTTTAGACATTAGGAGGCTAGCAGTGATTTTTGGGGAAATTTCCATTCCAAGATCCTACTAGCCCGTTTCATACCTTTTTTCAGTTGGAACCAGGTGCAGAGCCGTGGGGACACGGATATTATTGTCGGGATGATGGCCCATCTCCTGGGGGCCAATTAGTCATCGTAGAAGGGGGGGGATGGTCCATAAAACACATGTTTCCCCTCCTCCTCAAAATGGCCATATTGGGGGGATAGAGGAGGGGGGCAAGAGACAGCTGTTGCCTCACCGAGACCCCCACACATCTCTTATTTACAAGGCTTGGGCTTGGTCTTCGGAGAGGGGGAGACACTACACGGCACACCAAATGACGACCTCCCGAAGGGGAGTTCGAGAAATCTAGGAAATGGCTTGAAGAGCCTTTCAGAAGTATTATCGGACTCCTTGGAGATCGCAGAAAGCCAGCAGAGTTCATTTAGGAACGCTGGAGCTACCTAGCGGCTTAGTCTTAGGCTTCGACTTGAGCTTAGGCTGAGCTTAGGCTTAGGCGCGGCTTAGGCTTGACTTTGAATTAGGCTTGGGCTTAGCTTATTCTGGGCCTAGGCTTGGCTTAGACTTGGCTTAGGCTCGAGCTTTGTCTTGGGCTTATGCTTTGGCTTGGCTTAGGCTAGATTTGTGCTTAGCCTCACGCTTCAGCTTAAGCTTTTCTCAGCTTCAAACCCCCCCCCCCCGCCCCTAGCAACCAAGTATCGACCATTTAAGAAACACTTCCCCTCAACAACTCTTGCGAGAAACCACTTTAGGGAGGCAAATCACAATATTCCTGGTCGTGGCCATAAGAGGCCAATTATTCCCCCCACACCCGCAGAGAGAATAATTATCATTTCCGGGGGTCTACCGGGTGACAGCCGGTCGCCATTTAATGACAGCCAAGAAGTTTGGGGCACACTTTAAGGAAGGAGATCGAGAAAGAAACTTGGAGGAAAGGGGACCTGACTGAATTAGCATCGGAAATTATTATTAGATCTTTTTTCCCCAAAAATCTCTGCTAGTATGCCTATTTTTGGTTATTGAGTTGAAATATACAACTCTCAATTTCTAAGGCGACCCAGAAACACCTATAGTCGTTGGCTCGTGCCTGCAAAAAATGGCCCGGAGACATTAGCCACTTTTTTCAGGTTTTCCCATTTCCACGCGCACGCACCTGGGTGCTGAGGGAAATGAGGGATTTAAAAATCCTGGCAGGAGAAAATGGGGGTCAGGAATCCGCAGTGGTCTCTGCTATCTTGCTCCGTTTCCTCAATGACCTCTGCTAGCCTGCCCGCGCTTTTAAATTAGCTTTCTAAACCTGGCTATGCTTCCTAAATGGTCTCTGCCGGCTGGCTTATTTCCTAAATGATCTGAGTAGCTAGCCGGTTCCTAAATGCTCTCTGCTAGCCTATTCGGAATATAATAACGGTCATCAAGTCTTAAAAAAAGTTTTCTAGTTTTTTATTTATTTCAGAGTTTCACAGTTTTTTCCAGAGTCCGCGAGCCTCAGCGCCAGAGCGGCACCTCAAATCCATCGAAACGGCATCGAGGTAAAGTATTCGATTACGTCATGTTACGCCAGACTCCAATTTTCAGAACGGCTAAACGGGGAGATTGAGACTGTGGCCTGTCTTCTACCGTATGACGCGGCAACGATTTCACGGCTCGATAAGCTGTCGATTTTGAGGCTGGCCGTCGCGTATCTTCAGGTCAAGGCACATTTTACAGGTACGGTAATTCGGGTGTGGTATAGAATTTTGTTAAAGATGATCCAGTCATTAGTGCAGGAATCCATGTCATATTGTTCTATCAATGCGTATAGATTTGCCTTGTGCGGCCCTTTAATGGTTTATTTTCAGGGTATCTTTAATGCGTCTATTATTCTGACATTCTCAAGATAACAATCACACCCAAATCGACATACCTCCGGTAATAAGCACTTTCCAAAACGGGCTACAGTATCCTGAGTCTCCCTTCCGACTCTGAAATGATAATAATGGAGCTGGAACCTGATCCTGTGCAAGGCTGCGAGCCCCTCTCCCTCTCAATGCCCTCAGGTGTCATGTCAATGAGGTGTCAAGTGGAGTGAATCGCGTGACCTCCACGATAACAGAGCCCCTTAAATGACAGGCTCCATATCATATCCACCAAGAGGCTCTTGGAGATCTGGTAGTATGGAAATCTGGTCTAGGGAGGAGCAAGCTGAGTAAAAGGGATCTCACCTCACCGGAAAGATTCGAACTTTCGATGTTTGGGTTGAAAATCAGATTTGCTAGCCACTAGGCCATGAAAATGGCAGTTGACGAATCCCAAAAGGTCTCTGCTAGGCTGCCCAGACCTCAATTTCATGGTTTTCAACCCTCTATCCCTCTTCCCTCATCAATAATTCCTTACCAACCCCCATCCCCCACCCGGTGACATAACAATTTATGCGCCTGGAGGGGTAGCCAGATGATAGCCCCATTTCTTATGCTCAAGCAAAGTCATCAAGCCTCCTCTCTGGAAGGGACAGATTGGTGGTCTTGAATTTGAAAGCGGAGGCAGGCAAGCTAGCAGGGAACATTTGGGAAAATGACGCTCAAAGCAAGCTAGCAGCGATTATTTTACGATTTTACGGCACCAAAATAAGTACTGCTCTGATTTGATAAAAAGTCTCTCTCATTTTTGACAGCTGCCAATTATGACGCCCCTGGAAGGGCAGAGGGCCCCTTGTCTCTTCTTCTCCTTTCCCCCTACCCATCCCCCATGCAGCGATGTCCGAGTGGTTAAGGAGATTGACTAGAAATCAATTGGGCTCTGCCCGCGTAGGTTCGAATCCTGCTCGCTGCGAACTTTTTGCTTTTTGCCCGGGGATGAGGATTTTGCTTTTTGAACCTTCTGAAGATCATCTACAGCTTGAAAAATGACGTCAGCTGGCTCAAAAACAATTTCTACGAGGTGGAAAGGCATCTACAGGGCTCAATAAGACTTTCATGTGGTCAAAAAACCTTTCAAATCTCGTCCAAGATTCACAAGGTCACTTAAACGCTACCTTAAACTTTCACGCCTCCAAAAATGCTTTGCAATTTCAGCGTGCGTCCACTCGTCATGCGGATTTCCGGCACCTGTTCTCCCCCTCCTCTTCACCCATGCCTATCAATTTATGCCAACCCCAAATCCTTTTTCGGGCCATATCCCGACATTAGTCGATTCGGGTGAGTCTACGCTATTTAGTCATTGGCGAGCTAGCAGAGACCATTTGCGGATTCTAATTTTTATTTTAGCTTCCGGTATTCCGTTGATCGACAGCGATGAGCGGTTCTTTGAGTCAATTTCAATGAAGGTAGGCTTTTAACGTTATTCAGTAAGGCCCACTAACAATCCTTACGTTGAAGATCAGTACTCAGGCTTTTCCAGGCGCTCGGCGGCTTCGTGCTGGCGCTGAACAACGAGGGCGAGGTGTTCTACGTGTCCGAGAATGTCGAGTCATTTCTCGGTTTCCACCAATCTGATCTGCTCCATCAGCCCCTGTTCGAGCTTATTCATTCCGGTAAGGTTTCCGCTCTAATGGGACGTTAAATTATGCTTTTTTTAAAACAATGTGGTTCCGCAATGATCCCTGCTAACTTGCCTCCTTTTAAAAGAAATTATTTTGGATTTTAGAAGATCGAGAAGATATCCGAATGCAGCTTGATCCGGGTTACGGCATGCCGGCAGGATGTTCGACGGTACAAGATTTGTTAGGGACAGGTAATCAATCAGCTTTTTTAAAGCGACGTTGAAGGCTAATTCTCGAAATTTTGGATATTCCTCTCTTTAATGCATTGCTTTTTAGATAACCTCCACTGCCTCGAGCGCTCTGTAAACGCTCGTTTTCGATGCCTCCTCGACAACACTTGCGGATTTCTGGTGAGCTAGCTACCAGAGAAATTCCAAAATACGTGTCTTTTAGCGGATGGACATGAGGGGAAAGCTGTTGTCCCTTCATGGGTTGCCATCATCATTCCTTGGAGCACGACCACAATCTGCCCTCCTTGGTCTCGTCGCGATTTGCACGTGGGTTTCGAAGATTTCGGTTGTCGGCATTTTGGCATGTTAGGCTTTTGGTTGTCGAGATTTTGGCTGTCGGTATTAATGCCGAAATTGCCGTCTATTACGGCCTAGTGGTTAGCGCCTTTGCCTAGCAATCTGAAGGCCCCGGTTCGAATCCCAGCCGTGCCCAACTTTTTTCTTTTTGCAGATTCAGACCTTTAATTGTAAATTTTCGCTTTAAAATTGTATGAAATTACCATAGATGGAAGAATTGTGCATTTTTTCAGCCCGTTCGTCCCTCCAAACAACGGCGAGCTACCTAGCGAAGACACGATCCTAAAATCCAAACACCAACTCGATTGCACCCTCATTAGCATGGACCCGAGGTAAGTAATTTTATTTTCAAAGGACTGTGAAGTCATAATTACCTAAAAACGCTTAAAATTGGCTTCTTTCAGGCTCCACGAACTGCTCGAACTCTCCGAGAACGAGCTCCCGACCCCGTTCTACAGTTTGGTACACCCAGAAGATGCGATATGCCTGGCCGAAGCTCATAAAGAAGGTGCCTAAAATATAAAAATATATAAATAATACTATAAACTAAATGCCCTCTTGTTTAGTGGTGAAAAACGGCTCCTCTGGGCTGCTGATCTACCGACTGTCCGCACAAAAATCCGGGCGGCTCTACTACGTCCAATCCTCGTGCCGGATGTTCTTCAAAAACGGCAAGGCCGACTCGATCGCGTTGACGCATCGGATACTCAAGTAAGGGATCGAAAAGTGCTGTAATATGGAAAGTACCGTCATTTACAAAGTCTGAATTTTGTGCGTTACTGTGGTTTGCAAATTGAGTATTTAGCCGCTATCGTACTCTGTACAGTACCTTGTCCAATAAAATATCGTATTTTACCGTAACTTGTCAAATTTGTAAAGTACCGTCCTTTGGAAAGTTCCTTACTGTCTAATTTTCCGTTTTTGAAAAGTACCGTGCTTCGAAGTAGAGCTCCATATTTTGCAGCAGGTTGTAATCTGTTAAGCTCCGTAGTTCCGTAATGGGGAAAGTATCGTATTCTACGAAAAATTTGGGAAAAAAGCACCGCACGGAATCGAACCAAGATCTAAAGCTAAAACTTTATTAATACACCAGATGCAAATTTTCATAAATGCCTCCATGAATTGTTTTACAGCGAAGTCGAGGGAACGATGCTCCTCGAAAAGCGCTCCTCCCTCAAGGCCAAGCTGCTCTCATTCGACGACTCACTCCTCCAATCCCCTCGCAATCTACAGGTCGGGTTTTGGAGCTCCGCATACATCGTTTTAATTTTCAGTCAGCTGCTGCTCTACCATCAATTTGTGTCCCTTCAACGAGCCGTGAATCTCCGGATGAAGAAACGAGCCGTTCAGAAGCCACGTTAGTTGATAGCAGAGAGAATTTAGAAGTTTCCTAATTCCAGCCGTTCCTCCTCCGCCTCAAAAAGCCCCATCCAATTGCCCGTCACGCGGAAACGGAAGGCAAAGCGGCAAATGGCCAGGGTCGACCGGAAATTTCGGAGCAGAAAGCCGTGGTGTTGGAGCAGACGTGGATACCGCCGATACAACAGATAAATCCGCAGGTAGGTGGAACCCAAGCTAGCAGAGACCATGTGGGGAAGCTGAAAAACCTAAAACCCGCTTCCTAAGTCAGAAGAAAATTCTGAATTCAGTAAAACGTGCACAGACCCTTTAGGAAAACCAGCATTTCTCAAAAATCTGAAATAGGCTTATGACAAGCTAGTAAAAGAATTTCCGGCGATTTCGCTGTATTAATGACTAGCTTACCTTCTAGGGCGGGCTAGCAGAGATCATTTTGGAACTAAAAAACAGAGGCTGCTTTTTTTCAGCAACCCTGGAACGAGGAGAACCACCAAATGCTACCCAGAATGCCGGACGTCATGCAGTGGACCACCCCGGAATGGGTGACTTGTGGAGGGCTATATACTGGGAATTGTAGGTTTTCTGGATAATCTGTCGATATCTCTCTTTTCAGTCCCTTTAAAACAACAATTTCAGTCGCGATGCCATGCCCTCCATTTATGCCGCATTTCCCGGAACTTCCTTCACTGGACAACCATTGGCAGCAGAATGGTAAGCCGAGACTGGTCTCACTCTCTATTTGTCTCCCTCTCTCTCCCTCTCTCTTTAGTTTATTTAGTTTTATTTCACTTTAGTTCGTCTATAAAAATTTTCTTTTTTTAGAAATGCTAATCGCCCCTTCTCTACCTCATATGGACGATCCTCACATGATCAAGCCACACCCATTCATCCCGTACCCGCTGGGGGAAAAGGTAGGAAATCTTACCAAGGCGAAAAAACGTTAAAAAGCTCTTGAAAATACGATTTCCATAAAAACCAGGGTCTTTGGTTGGTGATTCCATAATCTTCGGTCAAAAAGCAAAAAGTTCGCAGCGAGCAGGATTCGAACCTACGCGGGCAGAGCCCAATTGATTTCTAGTCAATCTCCTTAACCACTCGGACATCGCTGCATGGGTTCTGGGGCGGGAGAGGGGGAGAAGGGACAGGGGGCAGGGGGGAAGGGGTGCCGGAATCGGCAACTGTCAAAATTGAGAGTAGGTTTCATCTGATTAGAGTTGAGAGAGGGAGAGAGTGAGAGTGAGGGAGAGCGGGACATATAAAGATTTTTAAGGGATCAAGTTGAAACTGCACTTTACGCATCCATTCCCACATAAATTGTACTAGCCTGTCCTCCCATTAATGCGTCGATTCCAGAAATGCCTACTCCCTCGTGTCGACGACCCCCAAATCCCCGCTCATCCATCTGTGATCGTAACTACCGGCCGGAACGGGTTTATACCCCCAGCCCATGAAAACCCTCAATTTAACGGGCCAAATTCAACAATACCGAATTGTCTCCCCAACGGTCTCCCTCCGATGCCCACCACCCCATTTGTCTCTTTTATTTCTGAAGCGACAAATGCCCTCCTGGGCCCGTTGCCAATTTAGGGAAAGGTTGGGTTAAAGGGACTGGCAAGGCACAAGTAGTTATAGATTTTTTTTATGGATCTGATCGTAATCGCGTACCTGTGTTTACATTGCGTAATTGAATACGGCCGTTTTTCGGTCGGGCAGTTGCGTAATGATTCAAAAAGAAAAACGCTTGCCTTGCCGTCCCCCTTTACATGGTCTAGATTAACACGGGGAAAAGCCAAAATCCCGACAGCGAAAGTACCGACAGGCAAAAATCACGACAGCAAAAAACCTGACTATTCGAGAGGCCAGTTTCCCCACTTCATTTAACAGCCATTTCGCTTACCGGGATTTTGGGTGTCGATATTTTTGCTGTCGGGATTCTGCTTGTTGGGATTTTGCAGTTTTTCTGACAAAACAGTTCTAATCTATAGAATTTTTTCACTTTATAGTCCCTTTAAACCTCCCTCAAAATTTGTTGCTCATAAAAATTTATATATTTTAAAGTTTTTGTTTTACGGGTATAACTACCAGTCCATTATATTCCTCATATTTTTTATTCCTGTATTTGTCGATAGTAACCTCGCGTTCCCCCTTGATCTCGTCATATAAATTATCAGAAATAAATACAGTTATTTAGAGTGCACCGCACATTATAGGTCTCAACTACAAAGTACACCAAAAAACGAAGATCAGCAAAAAGCTGTCGAGATCCGCTCAAACTGCTCCATACGGTTGAGAAGGCGCAGCACTTTTTCTGAAAAGGAACTGGTTGAAGACATTTGATTTTGGTCAGAATGTCGACAGCTGAAATACCGACAGCGAAAATTCCGATAGAAAAATGCCGACATGAAAAATGCCGACGCGAAAAGTTCCGACATTCGGGATGCCAGCAAACGCAAGACATGCAATTTCGAAATCTCGATTTTTTTGCCGGCCAGTATTTTGCAATTTTCGAATTTTCGGCATTTTCTGTGATTGGCGTTCCGTTGTCGGCATTTTGCAAATCCCCGAAAATTTCTATAAAAAAACACGCACCGTTAGCCCGGCAAAAATGGACGATATACCCGTGTTTTTGGCAGTAGTCGTGTACCTAAAATGGCTTAATGAATATTATAAATAACGGATATTGATTGTTCAGATAAAATCGTTAAAAACATCATAAACAGGAAAAAATTAAAAATTAAATTTTAAAGCTAGTTTACCTCAATAATAGCATTGCCGCCCATCGTATCGACATTCGTCACGAGATGCAGATCGAAAACGATCGAATGTGGGGCTTTTTCACTGAAATTTGGGGGTACTTTAGCGAAGCATAAATAAAATTACGAACCTGATAATAATATATAATATTAAGATTTTTGTTTTTGAGGAATAACTAGCCAATTCTTACCTAGCCGCCCGATCCAAAAGCTTCCTCAAATTCCGCCAGAACTGCTCGACGTTGAGGAAAATTAATGGGGAGGTAAAGGTCAGCACCAATTGACAATCGGCCCGAGTTCGACTGAAATTCCCGATTTTTATATAGCTTTATCTTTTGTATAGATTAATAAAGTGATAATTAAATTGTCAAAACCTACCATTCTTTTGGAGCCGTCCCCACCTCGCACGTCAGCTTCGCCCTGAATTTTAGACTCTAGGAAATCGTTGCAAGCTTACTTTTTGCTACGGAATATAACGGTTCCGAGCACGAAAATGACGCCGATGCAGAGACCAGGAACAATGTCGACAAGGACGGTAGCTAGGAAGGTGACCATGAAGACTCCCTGAAATGGTATATCCAGAATCTTTCTCGCTCTTTCTCGCTCACTCTCTCTCTCTCTCTCTCGCTCTCTCTCTTTCTCTCTATGTCACTCACTCTCCCTCGCTCTTTATCTCTCTTTCTCCCTCTCTTTCTCTCTGTCTCTCATACTCACACTCTCTCTCTGTCGCTATTTCCGATGAGAGATAAAAAATAGAAAATAGCAATTCCTTTTTTCTGTAGAATCTAGCCTCCCCAACACCTTTAAAACCCACCGAATCAATCCGATTAACCCGCCACAGCTGCGGGACCTGGCCCAGTTGGCGGAACATCCCCTGCAGGGAAACAATGACGATGGCTGCCAATACGCACTGAGAAGTTTGGTTTGCTAGAAAAATTGGCAATTACCGTAGGCAACGGCTCGAGGAGTGGGCCGAGGAATAGAATGACGCATAGCACCAGGGAAGATGAGAATACAGCTGAGAGTTGGGTTCGAGTGCCGGCCGACTAAAAAGGCTTGGAGTGCTTGGCATGCTTGGTCCCAGCGCCTGGCCCACTAAAATTAAGCCAAGCTGACTTCGTAAAAACAATTCTACTTCCTCACCTCTCCTACCAAGCTTCTACCCAACGATGTGGACGGGGGATAGACTGGGAAAAACGAGCAGAGAACCTCGGTGAGGCCAGTGGCGTAAAACTCCTGAAATTGGCGTAGGTAACGACAGAAAACTATTCGTAGTTTTAGTTAAAAAGGACCAGAAAAAAAACAGATAGAATATCAGGACCGGCATTTAAAAATACAAAAATACAAGTTTTTTTGAAGGTAGTTAAGTTTTAGAAAATTTAGACCCGTCGATCTATTTTATCGCGTTTGCGGCACAAAACGCGCACATCCGCCTTTCCGTTGCGTACTGGATTACTATCCGTTGGCCAAACTACGTGCGCGATGCGTGTCTTATGCGCGGTAACACCTTATGAAGCTAACCTGCTCCATGTCGAGCGGATATGTGTGCTTCTTCGCGAACAGCTTCCCCATCGAGAGGTGAATGACAAGAATAATAATCCCGATCGACACACTGTCCAAAGCCAATAATGGGAATAGGCCGAGCTCCGGCAACTTCGCCGAGGGCAGACTAAACAAAAGCTGTTTTTACTATTTTTATAGTGATTTTCCAAAACACTGTTTTTTTGGGGCCCAGAACAAAGTAGGAATGGGATTTTTTAACTTAAATTCACGCAAAAATGCTGAAAATTTTTACTGCATCTCATCGGGATCGATCAGGCCTTGGTGAAGGCTAAATCCTTAAATTTACAGAGATTTCCGCAAAGAATCTCTGCTGGCTGCTAGCTCTAAAGAAATATTGTGTACCAATCGGGTCTGCTTAAGGCTTCATCAAAATGTTTTTCCACAAAGAATCTCTGCTAGCTGGCCCAAAAAGTACTAACAAACCCGGTAGGAATATCCTCAATGATCGCCACCCCATATTGTGCGTGCAGGGCAAAATAGGAGCTGAAGAATGTGGCGAGAACCATCTGAAAGTGATCCGAAATACGCTGTTTTTTGCCTAAAACTTACCACGAAAAGATCGTAGGGCAACGGCTTCTTAATATTCAGCCAGCTGCGCAACTTTGGATCGATCCAATTTTTGATGAAAAACAGGCAAAAGACGACGAAACAGCCGATGCACGCTGTCATTAGGTGAAATCTGCCTTGTAATAGGGCGGCGACGATGTCACGGTAGATCTGAAAAACTTTATTTTTAGTTTTTTGCGCATTTTTAATCTTCGAAATCGGGATGATCGCATCGACGGCAGTCTTTTGGCCGACCGGTTAATGTTACTAATACGGGTGTTTTAGTCATCTTTCCTAAAAGTCATCTTTCCTAAAGTCATCTTTCCTAAAGTCATCTTTCCTAAAAGTCATCTTTCCTAAAAGTCATCTTTCCTAAAAGTCATTTTTCCTAAAAGTCATTTTTCCTAAAAATCATTTTTCCTAAAAGTCGTTTTTCCTAAAAATCAATATTTCTCAGTTGGTTTTTTTGCAAGAAAAATTTTTTTTGGAGAGGCCCGGGCCGTAAAATTTTAATGTCTCCATGCCGTACTAGACCTGTTCGGGATGTTTTGTTTTAAGTTATGCTATCTTTGAATTCAAAAAACTATTCAGAAATCAAAAAATAGGATAGCCTCCGATGCGACTAAGAGCTTTTATGAGGACTGACGGCGTTCAAGGCATTTTGCCGTTTCTACACAGGAAGCAGGTTTCAAGTTAGGCGGAGGTGGCATCCCTATTCGCATACCTAACTTCAAGAAAAATTAATCTTCGAAAAAAATGGTTTTTAGAAAAAAGTGATTGAGGAAAAATAAAAATTTACGATTACCTAGTTTTAGGAAAAATGACTTTTAGGAAAGATGACTTTTAGGAAAAATGACTTTTAGGAAAGATGACTTTTAGGAAAAATGACTTTTAGGAAAAATGACTTTTAGGAAAGATGACTTTTAGGAAAGATGACTTTAGGAAAGATGACTTTAGGAAAGATGACTTTAGGAAAGATGACTTTTAGGAAAGATGACAGGGATTCTACTAATACTACGGTTTTCTAATAACCGGCAGAGGTCAAGATTCCGAAATCCCGATCCCCTTCCAAAAAGCAAAAGGTTCGCAGCGAGCAGGATTCGAACCTACGCGGGCAGAGCCCAATTGATTTCTAGTCAATCTCCTTAACCACTCGGACATCGCTGCACGGGTCGGGGAGGGGGAGAGGGGAACAAGGGCTAGGGGTGGTCCGTCCCTGAAAAGGATGCCAGAATTGGCAGCTGTCAAAATGAAGAGTTTTTTGCGCAGATTTGAGTTCGGGGCTACGGAAAGGTTATTAAATATACCAAAAAGGGTAAAAATAAGATTTTTACAAAGATATTTTTTATGCTACTTACAAAGAATAACTTTCCCAGCCCATTATGCGATCCAATCGAGGCGCCCAGAGCTTTATCGAGTTGTGACGTCATCACATGCACGGCGGCTCCGGTGGTGAACCCGGCAATTACCTAGACAAATTAATTATGTTTATTAATATGAAGAATATAGTACTTATATAGTGTTTTTTATTATTCTTATTAATATTTATTTCTCGTCCATATTAACAAAATTTTTAACTGACCTGATCGCTCAAAAATGGCGTCAATTTATAGAGACGGCAGATGCCGAGGAGGATCTAAAAAAATGGGTTGTTTCTACATAATTTTTCGTTTATTTCCAACCTGTACAAAACCAATAAACATTGTAAGAGCAGCCGTAATCTGTATGGCCAAATTTTCGCGTATTTTCGGCTCGTCCGCCGCCGTAACGTTCATGCCAGCCATCAACTGTTCTGTCGCTCGAGTCGTTGCCGAGCCGGTCATTAGACAAATTACAGCGAAACCTCCTAAATTCAAATATTAAAAATTTGTTTTACAAAGAAAAACTGCTAGCATACCCAAGCCGCTAAGAGCTAAAGCCTAAATAAACGCCGTTAACTTTCCTCAAGCATCTCTGCTAGCTTTCCTCCAAACCCCAAAATAATTTCCCCAAGAATCTCTGCTAGTTTTCTCCAAAATATCCACAAAAAACTCACCAACAGAAACATGTCTGGATGTCCCGAATAGCATGTAGAATAGGGCAGGAAATAGGCAGGAAAATAGACCATTCACCGGCCTTACACCGGCCAACGGAGCGTAGGCCATTCCTAAAGGATTTCTGCAAGCTTGCCCAACGCGAAGTATACCCTCAGCAATATGCATAATGCCAATCGTCAATCCTCCAGCAAAATCACCCGGTAAATCTTGTGAGATACGGTATTCCGGGAACCATTTAGCAAACGGGAGTCGCCGGTAGACGAAATCCCGGCATACGGTAAGTAGGGGGCGCTTCATAGGGACTAAAAAAAATCAGGATATTCCATTCCGTCTAAGAAATTACCGTCAGAGGCCCCGTCCGAGCCCGTCGTACCCACGACCAGCTCTTCCCGTTCGAAATCTGCAAAAAGTAAAATAAGAGGTATGTCGAACTTGATGCGGAAAATCACTAAGCATGCCTTAAACGGTCCTTTAAAGACTTTTTAAAGGGAGCAGACCAGGGCATATGCGAAAACCGTACGCAGCACAACTGTTGTGCGTAACTTGGATGGTGGCGGAATGAATGGGTTATGTGCGGAGACGAAGGCCCATCCAGGCGAAAGGAAATTGCCCCCTGGAGGGCACAGAGGGCGAGGCGCACAAAAACCTACAACGACGCGGAACCGCAACTCGTTTTGTCGGCCAGGAATCGCATGGGTATGATTGTTAAAGGTTATTGGGGCGGTTTTTGAAGAGGTAGGGAAAGGAAAACAGGAATCTATGCTAATTTCCACAAAAATCTTGGCTAGCTTCCCTCAAGCACCAATCATAGCTTTCTTCTTTCATCCAATAATTCCCTCAGGAATCTCCGCTAGTGGGCCCAAGTCTCTTTGAGGTTAATCCAAGAATCCCCGCTAGTTAGCCTCAAGGATCTCTGCAGGTTGTCCCTATATCAGAAATCTCTGCTAGTTTGCCCCACGAGTATCATATTTCCTCAGGAATTGCTGAAGCCTTCCTCAAGAATCACTGCTAGCTTTCCCCAAGAACCTCTGCTAATCCACCCCCAAAATCGTCTTGATTCCCAAAGAATCTCTGCTAGCCCACCCATAACCCCATAACCCCCAAAAAATAACACTCACTATGTGATTTGAGCCTCACGCTCCCGACCGTCATTCGGAAAAGCGAATTTTAGCCGAGGGAATGGAAGGGCAGTGTTTATGAGTCCTTGAAATGGGTGTAGATACCCCCGAGGGCTTCGCAAGGAGGAGGAGGAGGGAGTGAGTCTCGAGAATTGTCAACCAATCAAATCACCTCATTGCATCCTTTGAGGCAATCAACCGAAAAACATAAGCGCGCGCAACCTGTCACACTGTCCTCAAGGCTATTTTCAAACTTTTACGCTGACTGTATGCGAGCATTAAAACCGAGGAAGCATTAATAGGCATTTTAAAGGAGCCGGGAAGTGATGGATATGGATTTTGCGGATCCTGTAGAAATCAGCGCTAACGCCTTGAAAAGATCATAATCTATTACCACATATCATCTATTACGCGTAACCGTGAAAATCCATAGCAACGGCTTGATCTGTCTTTTAAACGGATCGGAAAGGCAGGCTGGCAGAGAGAATTGGGGAGGGATAGAATTGCTTCCGATATACGTTTTTTCGAGGCAAGCTAGCAGATATCAGTGAGGAAAAAAATACAGCATTTTAACGCCAAATTAATTCCGTTTTTCCATCGATCCACAGCCAACAAAATGTATAGTTTTGGCTTGCCGATCCCTTTAATAAACCTTGAATAAGTCTCAAAATATAAATGAAAGATCAGTAGCAACTTTCTAACTGGAAAACCAGTGGAAAAGCCGCTGCGAAACCCTATGTGGAAGCCAAAAACTGCTGAGCAAATATGCGTTTTTGAAGACCCGGTACCGGTCAGGAAAAAAAACAAAAATTATGGCAAGCTGGCAGAGATTCTTGGGGAGAATTTTTCCGTTAGAAATTACAGTTACAAGGAGGGTCTTAACCAAAAAAAATAAATTTTAGACTGTTAGAAAATCCCTAAAGACTCGCGCAACTTTTAAAAACCCACCATTGCCACGACTCCCCGTCGGTTCCATCGTGATCTTGAACACCTCTTCCTCGTGCTCCTCTGCTCTCCTTTAGCAGTTCCGCGACCGTACGCCTGTGGTCAGTAATATTAGTCGTACCGTGGTTCTTTCCAGGGGACTGGAAGAGGCACACAATCAAATAATGCCCGCCACTGCTTCTTCTTCTTCTTCTTGCCGAGGCTGGAAAGACAATATCGAAAAAGCACTAACTGTGTGTGAAGGGGGAGGCGTGTTCCCCGGCAGGAAAACAAGAACAGACTAGCTCGATTGTACAGATGAGAAGAACTATACGGATAGCGTGGAAAAGGCATGGAATCTTGCCAAGGGATAGGTCAAAATTTGGCGATTTAGCGCGAAGCGTATATAGGAGCTGGCCGGAGCCTACTAGGAAATAGCTTCCGCTCGAGCTTGAATTTCGGTCCAAAAGTTTGCTCATTTTGTAGATCTTGACAAAACAAATCGATTGCTGTAACTTTTAGCTTTGCATACTTTAATCCCTAAAAGTTACAATCGCTTAAAGTTTTGCGGAAAAGCGTAATTTTCAGTTGAAAAACGTAGGAACGTTACAAGGGTTTTTAAGGAAAACTTGTGGATAGCATGCGCTGCCAAGCTATAGCTTTACAAAAAACAGAATGATTACAAATTGACCGACATTTTTTACAACATGGAAAATCATGAAAAAAAGCATCTGTCAGCTTTTCTCTATTCAGCTTTTCAAGCGATCGGTATCATTCGAAGCGCTAAATTTTACGCCATTTGCATACTTAGAATGCCAATTTTTCAAAATCAAATTGAATCCATTTTTCTAACTTTATAGCGTTTAGAGGTTTGTCCCGAAACATGTTATTACGTAAGTAAGAGCGCCACGTATTTAGGGGGAATTTCTAACGATACGTTAATGACATAGCGAGAGCAGCTGTTATTAACGGATAGAAAAACGGATAGATGCAGAATAATTCTTATGGATTTGCAGATCCGTGCTGCGACTGTTTTGGCTTGTTTCGTGCTGACCCTCCCACCCCTCCTAACAAGCCTTTGATTAATCGGCCACCAACGAGAGATATTCTGCCCGTTTTTTCGGTGGTTCTTGACCGATAAAACCTGTATTCCGGATTCTTTTGCTACCTGCAGTTGCGGAATCGTCACAAGTAAAAGAATTGAATCAGGACAAGCTGAAAAATTTGAGCGGGAATTTTTTCGTGATTTTTTGGAGTGTTCCCCGACTTTTTCGTCGCCGTCTTATCTATTGGGTTCGGGTTTTTCCGCTTCTCTGCCGCCCATCTTATCACGACTTCTGGTTTTTACATCAGTTTTTTAGGCTGCCATGGTGGGAGCGGGTAAAATAAGGTGAAAAATTAAGAAGCGGCCATCGGAATCAAACTTACCTAGTCCAAAGCCTAGCCGAGTTCAAAAGAAAATGGAAACTAATCATAAAAATTATTCTTGTCTTCTACCCAAAAATAGACATGGCCCTTTATCTTAGGTATCCTTTTTAGTCCGGTTTGTACGTTTTATACCCTTTCACACCTACCGGTATATTTCTTGTACTTATCCTCAAACCTTGATAGAAATCTTTATCACTCTCCGTTCTCCATTTAAATATAGGCATATCCGGGCATTGAGACCGGGCTGGCAGCGGGAGCGTGATCGGCGCCTCCTCCAACTCCAGCTGATCCTCCGTATCCACCATCCGATGCTCCAGACGATCCACCACCAACAGCACCGGTGCGAGGAGGACAGGGGCAGTAGGCAGCATCGGCTCCAGGAGAACCAGCCTGAAAAATTGGCTTAAATTGCGAGTTACGAGGCACTAAAGCCACAACGGCTGACTGGCCTCAAACAACTCACAAAGCCTTGAGTTCCAGCCTGTCCAGGCGCTCCCGGATTTCCATCGTGTCCGGCAGCTCCAGCAACTCCCGGTCCTCCAGGTCGTCCATCCGTTCCGCGATTTCCGGGAGTTCCTGGGCGTCCAGCATTTCCAGGCTGCCCACGGGGTCCCTGGGGTCCGGGCCGTCCGCGTCCGCGTTGTCCGTTGTTGCCCTAGAACTTGTGTTGCAGCAAGACTTAGATACCAACCGGTCTTCCGGGATTTCCAGGAGCTCCGGGGGTTCCATTCGGACCGGGCGGGCCGGAGAGACCCTGGATTCCTTGATCACCATTCTTTCCAGGGGCTCCGACAGATCCGGGTTGGCCGGGGGCTCCGGGGGCTCCGGCGGGACCGTCTTCTCCGGATGGGCCTGGAAGGTTAGGATTCTAGCTAGCACGATGGCGGCTACGTCGATCAACCATTTCGTTAGTAAGTGCCCATTTAGAGCGCTAATCACTGTTTACGATAGTATAAAACGTACCAGGCGGTCCAGCGGGGCAAACTATGCATGGCTGTGGCTCGTACGAAGTTCCCTTGTCACTGCTACCCTTCGATCCGGGATTTCCGGGCTGACCACGAGGGCCATCGGTACCATCATCTCCATTGGGTCCCTTAAAAGGGGTTTATAGAATATAGATCCTAACAAGTACCCAGAGGCATACATATCAACTTGAACATACCTTAGGCCCAGGCGGCCCAGCCGGACAGTTCTGAGGCTGAGGCCCGCATTGACAATTCTGAGCGGCCTTCTTCGTGCGGATCAACTCTCGGAAATCACTCCTCTTCTCCAGCGACATCCCGATCATCATATCATCCCAGGCACCATTTGCTGAGACCTAGAAAGATACTGGTAAGACGCTGAGAGCCGTTACGGGAAACCGGAAATTCCGTGAAGCTACCTGGAACTCAACGAGATCCCGACGAGCCTCGTGGTAGAAATCGTTGATCTCCTGATAGAGGAGCCCAACGGATACGAGGGCCACGAAAGCGATCGCACCACAACCGGCCGATGTTACGGTCACGGCCAGCCGGATTGATGATGTCATTCTGGAATTGGTAGTAGACATTTGTAAGCTAGACACGAAAGCGAAAATTAAAAAATCCTTCTAACTCGACCGAGAAAACTCGGATTGGAATGATTTTTGAAGCCTTCGAAAGCGCGGAAAATTGCGAATCTCATGGCAATATAATATCGTAGTTGTTTATTAACTGATTTTATTAAAACAGTTAAGCATGAAAGGCTTTTTATTATAAGGTAAGCATCAAGGCTTTCTCCCCTGCGAAATGGGAAACAACTATTTTTTAACTGGAAATTTTTTAATTAAAAAAATATTATCCTAAATGGAAATTTAAGAATTTGTCAACGTTATCTACCATTAACTTCTAGCTATTTTTATTAAGAGTGTATTTTTCTAAAAAATTCGCTTTTTGAATTTAGCTTTTTTGATCAAAATGAGACTGAAGCGGCTGACTCTCCGATGGAAAAAAGGGCCTTAAAACGCTCTTTAAAAGGCAGAATTTAAAGAAAAACATCAATTGCATGCGTTAAAAGCGCAATTTGCCGGGTTCGAATGCTCTCAAAGTTAATAAAATCTGATGTTCCAAAGTTGAGATAGCGAGAAAACATCGAATTCGTTCCAGATCATGCTAGAGCTCAAACGACTCTCCTCCACTCTGAACCCACCCGTTTATATAGCGAACATGCCCCCGGTGGCAGCCCTCACTTTTTCACACTTTTTCTTCTCGCCCGCAAAGCATTGGGGGGAATCAGATCCTCAGATCCGGGGCGATGTTCCCCAGGCGACCATCACGATTTCGGTCCGCTTCTCCACCCGGCTGCCGCCAACCACACACTTCTTTTGAGCGCTGCACGCGCCCGCGCGGGTAGGCGATTCGAATTGGAGCCGTCCGGGGGAAATACAGCCTTCATATGCTTCCTTTCCCCTCCTAATTGGCTGAAACGGTTATGGCTTTAGAGGAACGAGAGGAGTTTTCCACTCAACCTCAAGTAATTAGGGGCGAATAGGTTCGCTTTCGCCGTCATACCGTCACGAAAATTGGCATCAAAATGCCTTAAAAAGAGACAAAGTTTGACAGCCCCGGAATGAACGGCTTGTCGATCTGTCGAGCTCATAAGTCGACTTCGCGGACGCGAAAATCGACTTCCGGTACCATACATGAATTCTTGGGATTTTCAAACCCTAAATTTGAATCCCTAAAAACCGGAAGCATGGAGAAGTCGGCCGCTTTTTCGTTTTTTTTTGCACTTTCAACTTCATCCCCGAAAATCGACTCTGATGGCCCGCATCGCAAACTACGAGCCGCTGTCTGACGGGCCCCAGCCACCGCCAGCCCCCAAGGGATCCAATCGAGGTTTGACCTTGCCTTCAGTGGTCCTTTAAGGGGACAGAAACCGCTGTGTTTGCATGAAATATCGTTTTCCCCCTTTAAAACCGCCCCCTTCCAGAACTCCCCGCCCCGATCAACTTCCCGCCGACGCTGGCCAGCCTGGCCACCAAGTACCGCAACGAGTTCGAGGAGACGATCGAGGGGCTCAGGGATAGGGCTGGAAAGCTACAGGTAATCTACAGATCCGATAGTACGCAATGCTACCCCTTCCAGGACCAAGCCCCAAAGCTGTTGGCAAAGGCGCAGGCCAAGTTCGACCCTATCCGCGACGATGCGCTACGTACCATCCAGGCCCAGGGTGACGTCACGGCGCCGCAGGGACCCATATTTGCCGCGTTGTACTGGGTACGGTAAGGGGATTAAGCGATGGGCAATCGATCCGCAGCGCGGGCACCTGAACTGCTCCAAAATGTCGTTATCCTACCTACTATTTCAGGCTTCGATCCTGGCGACGGCCGCCGGTTTGGCCAGCATCATCGCCCCGTTGCTGCTCGGCGGTGTCGTGAGGGCTATCCTTGGCCGAGAAGGCGCCTTCCTCATCTCCACGATCGTCCTCCCCGCCTACGCGTTCTGGGACGTCAAGCAGGTTGGTTCTGTACTGTTAACGGGGGGGGGGGACACGACATATCTAATGAATAATTTACCGTATTCTAGTTTTTAATCGTTTTTCTGCTAAAAACCGCATAATCCTCCCCCCCCGCCGGGGGGCTAGTGCTCCCAAACTTCCAGGCGATAGCCGACGGCCAATCGGACAAGGCGATCCGCTTCCGACTGCTCGGTGTGGCACTGGTCGAGGGTGCCCTCATCGGCTGTGTGCTGCAGAATTCATTCCTGGCCGGAGCCCCCTCTTTCTCCTTCTACCTGTCCGTCGTCGCCAACGTGTACCCCATGGTCGTCGAGAAGTTTGGGCGCAATCGGCAGGTTCGGTTAGATCTTTTTTGTCCTGTCTCTCCCTTTAGCCTAAGATTCTGTTTATTATGTTCCTTCCAAGGCGGAAACTAGCAGAGACGGCTTGGAAATTAAGCCCGACGTCTTCGGGACGTTCGGCAAGACGCAACTTTTCTTCATTTTCCTGCATCTTTTTGACTCAAAAACCGAGGGCAAGCTAGAAGAAACCAATTTACGAGTGTAGCAGACCCCCTCTAAGCAAAATGCCGCTTCGCTGGTTTTTTTCCGTGCCAGGAAGGTTTTATAAAAAAGGCCGTGCGAAATCTAAGAGTTCCTAAAGAAACGCCTTGCAGATGCTGATCGGTGCCTCCGTCGGTGCCGGAGCCGGCGCCCTGGCCATTGTCGGCATTCTCTGGGGTTCATTCTGCCCTCCGTACATCCTCATCACCGCCCTCTACGCCTCAATCACCGCCGCCGTCCTCCAGTTCCTCTACCGTGACGTCACCAACAATACGGTAACTTTCACCTAGGCACGCTAGCAGAGACACTTCACTTTCAGGCCCCAACCTACGTCCACCAGCTGTCCCTGTTGCTCGGGCTGATGGCCAGCGATGTGCTCATCTACCTGGTGCTCGGCATGGACTCGGAGGCGTACGCCCGCTACAGGCAGAAGGCACGCTAGAAGACTACGGAATACTACTACAAACGATACGACTACACGACGTTACGGCCCCTACTCGAGACGCTTGACCGACTAGAGACCCCGTGATTTTGTCCCCGATTCTCGCGAATTTTTTGCCCCATCTCCTTCTCCCCCGTAATGCCTATGATTTTCGTACTCGAATAAACATTTGTGCCCCGGCTTTATTTAGTAAAGTAAAAAGGTTGAAACAGCTTTGGAAATTTTGGCTTTCATGACTTCCACGGCTCTTTAGAAAAATTGCCCACCCTTCCGAGACATTCCGGGATGGTCGCTGCAAAGCGCGAGTGATTAGGGTACGGGAATTGGTGCATCAGTGGGGGGAGAGAGGGAGAGGAGAGAGGAATTTGTGGAATGCCCGGAATCTCCCCTGCGGGGGCACCCCAGGCGGGTACAGACAAATACTCCTAACGGAAGATGAGCACATGGAAAGAAGGGGGGAAAGCCGTCGAATTAGGCGTGGCTGAGATTCCAGGGCAGTGGTGTCTGCTCAAAAAAACACTGCCCTCGGCTATGTTGGAAGGCGATCAAAGATCTGCTGGCTTGGGCTCGGGCTTGGCTTAGGTTTGGGCACAGGCTTAGCTTCGGTTTGGGCTAGGCATAGTTCGGAATTCGGTGGGCCAAACTTAGGCGTGGTGTTAGGCGTGGTTTAACTTTAGGTTTGCCGTATAAAAAAAATAACTTTTTCCTCAATAACCTCTGCTAGCCTCCCTCTCCGCATGATTTCAAGAAGACCTTCCAACCCCGAATCCCCCCCAAGGGCTCCACCACCACATTCCGAGACCATAAACGGAGCGTGATTTGCATAAACGCCCCTTGACGGTTTTATGATTTCGTGGAGGTGAGGGTGGAATGTTAGGCATTTCCGGGCGGGCTAGACTGGGCTGACGATCTGCTCTCCCTATGCGACTGACTCATCACATGGGATGGGGAGATCTTCGGGATATGCAAATTAGGAAGAGGGAGAAATAAAGGTAGCTAGAGAAAGGGAGAGAGAGTGAGAGAGAGGGAGGGAGAGAGAGTGAGAGAGGGAGGGAGAGAGAGGGAGAGAGAGGGAGAGAGAGTGAGAGAGAGGGAGAGAGAGTGAGAGAGGGAGAGAGAGTGAGAGAGTGAGAGAGGGAGGGAGAGAGAGGGAGAGAGAGGGAGAGAGAGTGAGAGAGAGGGAGAGAGAGTGAGAGAGGGAGAGAGAGTGAGAGAGAGAGTGAGAGAGAGGGCGAGTGAGAGAGAGAGGGAAAGAGAGTGAGAGAAGAAGGGAGGAGAATTGTGCCCGATAATCTACTTACTGGACCCGTAGGAGCATATAAGGTTTTTCGCGCCGATAGGCAAGATAGAACAGGAGGTGGCGTTTGCATTTTAGTTAGATCCCACATTCCTACAAAAATAATTCTTTCCACTTCTTCTTACGGAAGCGAAATCTTAATTCTCGATATATTTCTAAATTTTCAACAACTCCGCTTTATCAACCTTTATAGGCCGCCGCAAGTTACGTTTGAGGACACTAAGTTGTTGCTGTCAAGTCTAGATGGTCATGTTGCCGCTGCCGAACATGTCTTATTGGTCGGCGATTTAAACTTTTCAATCTTTCCAGGCATCGTCCCGACGTTCGGCGACAAAAAGGGCTCTCCTTTTGCACGAGTTTACCGTAGAATTAGGCTTAACGTTAGTCTCAAATTTTGCCACATACCCACAAACCGGAAAAATGCTAGACGTGGCTATTTCGTCGCCCGGCCTTGTCACATCTTGTTCTCCCCACGCGCCTTTCGCCAAATGCGATCATCTAAGCATGGTCATTAAAGTAGATTGCGTAGTGTCAAAAAGTAACTTTCAACCGTCCGGCCTAGACTTTACGAAAGCCGATTTTGAAAACATAAATTGCGAAATCTACCACGCTGACTGGTCATTTTTGTCAAACCAGGCGCTAGGCCTGCAATCAAAGTACGACCAAATCATCCATAAACTAGGACAGATCTGTTCCAATTTTGTGCCCAAAAAGGTTTTAGAGCTCCCTCTAGGATACCCGAACACATATCCCGCTCGGCAAACCGGAAAGAAACCTTTTGGAAACGCTTTACAAGAGGTGAAACATCTTTCGACGAATATCTTGCTAGTTCAAATCAACACAAGCGAAATTGTAGCAAATTTCTCTCAAATTTTGAGCGTCGCGTCTTCTCCTCCGGAAATCCAAGGCGTATCTTTTCCTATCTTAACTCCAGGCCCAAAAAACCTCCCGCCTCGGCTCTTGTAAACCCTACAGGCATGTTAGTAACCTCTGCCGAACAAATTCCTGAAATTTTAGCGCTAAATTTCTCAAAGGTCTACACAAACGCCGGTGTAGACCACTCCTCGACTAGATCCCTCTCTTTAGTTGCACCAAATTCTACTTTTCCAGCCTTTCTGTTAACCCCGATCGATGTAGAAAATGCTTTCAAATTATTGGAGCCAAAACTGCACTGGACGCCTGAGAACCTGCCAGCCTTTTTCCTAAAAAACTGCTCTCAGACACTTTCCAAAATTCTATGCCACTTTTTCAACCTTTCGCTTCTTTCGGGACAGATCCCCGACCAATGGAAAGTATCGCAAATCTTCCCATTGTTTAAATCAGGGGACGAAACCTCGCCCGGAAACTACCGCCCCGTTGCCCTGACCTCCTCCATTTGCAAACTAATGGAAGTAGCTTTAAAAACGAAAATCGTGGCGCGTCTTGAGCTAAATAATTTCTTTTCGCCAGCCCAATTCGGCTTTAGAAAGTTTCATTCCACGACCACGCAGCTTTTGCAAATGTTTCACAAAATCTCTGAGAAAATCGACGCCGACGAGGACCCTATCACGATTTATTTTGATCTATCCAAAGCTTTTGACAAAGTTTCCACGCACTTTTAATCACTAAGCTTTCTCATATAGGTTTTCCGCAGATATTGGTTACTTGGATTGAAGCCTATTTGACAAATCGATCTTTCTATGTGAAAATAGGTGATCAAAAGTCGAACGCCCACCCACAACCCTCAGGAGTCCCTCAAGGTAGCGTATTAGGCCCACTACTTTTTTCTCATCTATATAAACGATCTTCCTTCCCTTCTAACGAACAGTAGCCTAATTTTTGCTGATGACTTAAAAATTTACGCCGGCGTGCCACGCAACCCCACCCTGGCTGATCCGGCTTTTAGAGCCCTCCAGGCAGATATAAATGCGGTCAAAAGCTGGTGTGTTGAAAATGAAATGTCGCTTTCAACCTCCAAAACTTTTATCCTAACGAACATTCCCCAGCCCGTTTCCAAGATCTCTACGTAGACAATACCCGGATACCAAGGACAAATGTGATTAAGGACCTAGGGATCACTTACAATCAGAAATTTAACTTTGAATCGCATATCGCCGCTATCCGATTAAAAGCCGCTCGTATATCCTTCCTTCTTATCAAAAGAATTCAAATTCCAAATGCGATCACGTACCGGCGTGCTTTCAGTACTTTAGTTAGGCCGATTTTGGAGTACGCTTCCGAGATTTGGAACCCAACCAAAAAGCGAAACATCAATGAACTTGAAAGTGTCCAACGTAAATTTACTTTCTTTGCCTATAAGAAATTGTTCCCAAATGAGCCTATGCCCTGTTACCCAGATCGACTAAAATTCTTTTCCCTTCCCACTCTAGCGCACCGTAGAACAGAAGCGGATTTAGTTACATTTTATAAGTCTTTTTTTGTAGAAACTTTTCCCTTCAAATTTTTGGAATGCACAAATCGTCCGATAAGGAATTCCCATGCTTTTCAAGTGAAGAGAATCCATAGTAAGCAAGGTTTCCCCCGTTCTTTCTTCTCGCGTAGAGTTGCGAAAACGTGGAATAAGCTCCCGCCTAGGGTCTTCAAAGAAGGTCAATTGGGAAATGCAAAGAGCTTTCGTGTAACTTTAGAAAAAATGGACCTGTCCCAATTTCTGTGATCTTTTCTTCCCTCCCCCGTTTGTTTCCGCATGTTATACAACCTCTGAACCAGTGGCACCACACATTGCCTACTCCCCACTCTTATTCAACTACTGAATAAAGTATATATATAAACAAATTAGCATGCCATCCAAGATACCGCTAGTGCACCAATGGTCATCGAAAATTCTGAATTACGCTTTTGGATACCTAGCAGAGATCCTTCCGGAACCCTGGCAGCCCGCCTTATTATTTTGTCGAAAACAATATTAAATTCAGCACTATTGCACACTAGTGGATATCGTGGGATTTTGGAAAAATCGTCTCCCCGATAATGCTAAAGAGCCGTGCTTTGGCTTCTATAGCAACAAAAAGTATGAGGGTAGTCTAGCAGAGATTGCTTGGGAATTCCCGCTGACTCACGAGGTTGATCTTTTAAAGGAATGTGGCGTCATCTCCTCCCCTGAGCGAGCAATGTGCCTTGAGGGTATGCGTGGAATGGTGGACTGGGTGGGTGGATGATGATGGAATGTTTGTCTCCCTGGCGTCTCTCTCTCTCTCTCTCACTCTCTCCCTCTCTCGCTCGCTCTCCCACCCATCCCCTATATAAGCGCCCACCAGAATGCACCATTTCAAAGCCATCCCTTCCGGAACACAACATTCCGCAACAAACCTATCCACATCCCCCACATCTTCACTATGCTTCCTACCGTAATCGTTGGTGTCTTTGACCGCGTCGACACATTTGCTGACCTCATGGTTTAATCAACGTTTTTGATGGCGTTTTTGAGGTGAGCCTTTGATTAAGTTACGGTAATTTTTGCCGAGAGATATTTCTAGGTTTTTGGCATACAGTAACCTAGGGAGTTTGCAGAGAGCAGATTTTAGCAAATGGCTAATTACAAATTTTCAAAATAGCTTCGAATATTTTCTAAAATAAGGTATTCCGTCAAAACTCAGAGTTTAAAGGGCTTAGGAAGGCAAAGAAAACCAAAAGGAACCTGGCCTAGGTATTTTTATGTAAATTTTTCAGCCAACTTCGTATAAATGGCCTTACCGTCTTCTTACTACAACACACCCCACCTACCGTACTCCCCGTCACTCAAAGCCGATCTCTCGCCCCCGCCTCTGCTCGATACTCAGCCGTCCCAGTTGCCGCTCCAGGATTCTTTCAATTTTTTTTGCTAAAGTTTGAACTTTTCTTGGCACTTTGCCAGCTCTACCGTATCCTGCAGTACTTTACCGTGTCCCTTCCTTAATTTTTGTCTGGTTTCTCTCGACGTGTGACTGCTTTGCCGACAGGTCCCTTTTCACTCTGAATTCTCAATTCCTCGCATTTTGACACGAGTCTACCCTCTGAATTTCTGGTGTTTTGTGTGAGCTTCTTGATGGCCGCCAAAAATTGCATTCAAATACTTGTCTCCAGCTACAGTGCACACGTGTAATAAAGTTGCTTTGAACCTTTATCGATTAGGACAAAACGATCTGACATAACATTGCAGAGTGGAGAAATGGTACTGGGCTATTAGCGGGGGGGGTGATTTTAGCGGAAGCTAGAAGCCTTACATGGTCCCAATAATGAACTACACGGTAATTATGCGGACTTTTACGCCGTTTTTATGCACAAAAAGTTCAGTAAAACTTTTTCAGGTTTTTATGACTTTTTTTGGTAATCAACGACTACTAAATGACTATAAGATAGACTATTGCACCTCAAAAGTTTTTCCTGGTAGGCAGAGACTTGATAGCTTCTCCGCGCTAACAGTCAAATACCATTTTTTGAAGCAGAAATTCCCTTTTGAAATTTCTACTGCATTTCGTACGCCAGCGATCCCTAGAAAAACGCACCCGTATACCATTCAAAATGTCATAAAATTGCAGCCCGCCTTCTTTATTCCCCTGTCAAACGAAAAACAATCACAATGAACGGTTCAATTGGTATAGGATAAAAAAATATCGATCGATCGGTTTATTTCCCTTCGGCAGCGAGCTTCTCGCAGTGGCGCCGCACATTTTCGACGTCTTCGTGAAGGAGGCGGCCGAGCACCGGGTTCAGCACGCTTTTCCACATCATACCTGGAAATCGGGCGGTTTCTCGCTCTCTCTCGCTCTCTCTCTCTCTCTCTCTCTCTCTATTTCTCTTTCTCCCGCTTTCTCGCTCTCTCTCACTCTCTCCCACTCTCTCTCTCTCGCGAAAATCGTACCTTTCATATCGACGCACACCACGTAGTCGTACGTACACTTTGTGGCGTCATTAGGGAGTGGTCGGACTCGGCCGGCAGAGATGTAGAGGTGTGCTCTGGAAATTGGGGTTTCAAGGGACAGTGAAGCGAGGAACCACCTGACGCCATGCTCGCCCTCCTTGATCTCCTTCAACTCGGTGCTTTTGGCGGCAAAGAGGATGCTGCCTGAATTTTGAGTTCGAGAGAGAGCAAGAGCAACGGAGAGAGAGAGAAAGAGAGAGAGAGAGAGAGAGAGAGAGAGAGAGAGAGAGAGAGAGAAAGAGGGAGAGGGCAGAAAACTTACCGTCCGCATCCCTGAATACAGCCCTCGCGCAGATAAATTCTCGTCCCTCGACGATCAGCTTCTTGTTGGTGGCGTACTGAAAAAATTTGATTTTTCTCTTTCTCTCGCTATCCCTCTCACTCTCTCTCTCTCTCTCTCTCTCTCTCACTCTCTCCCTCACATGTGAAATATCCAAATCCTCCCCGAGCTGCATATGCTTTTTCGAGAACTTGTAGCTGTCGTTCCACTTCACCGAGCTCTCGACGTCGGCGAACACGGCTGCCAGCGCCTTTTCGGTGGTCAAGGGGAGTTGGGTCTAGAAATCATTAAAGGGATCGGCAAGGCAAGACTATAGATTTCGTACCTAAAGGTTCGCCTAAAACCCACCTTGCCACAAAAATAGCGCCCATTCTTGCGGTCGCTGTAGAACATCTTGGTCGTCTGGCTCGAGTGGTCCGGCTAGAAAAAAAAATTTGCGAGGGCAATCTAGCAGAGATTTGGTGGATTTCAAGGGACAGTGACACTACCTTCCACCCATTCATATCCGTGTCGAAGCCTGGCTCCCGGAAAATGGCTGCCGTCTCCTCGAGCGCGCCGCGGCAGTCGTCGAAGGCGGTTTTGTACTGCAAAAACTTCGAATTAGACGAGAGAGAGAGAGAGCGAGAGAGAGAGAGAGAGAGAGAGAGTGACTGTCCCTCACCTGTTTGGCCGTATCGTCGAGCACGTATTTCCGGCCCTGGAACTCGAACGAGGCCGCCATACCGCCAGAGGCCGAGCTGTAGAAGTAAACATTGAATTTCCGGAAATACGCATGTAAAGAGTAGTTAAATGGAAATTTCAGCTGGAATTTGGACAGCGCCGAGTTCGTGAAATTTTCGAAATTAAACAATTTACTTTCATATAAAATGCTAAAATGCAAATATTAGCAAAATTAGTTTTCTAAAACGGTAAATTTTCCATCAATTTTTCTAAATGTCTCAAATTTAATACCTTAACACTAACATACCTCACATTGTTGGAATCGACCAAATACATAAAAATGAAATAAAATAAAAAATAAGAAAAAGAATTAAATCGCTATAGTGGTTTTTACATAATAAAACACAAAATTCCAAATTTTTCGAACATATCGCCCTCCTTTTGTCACTACCCAATGCAAATTTGCAAAAAAATCAGTTAAAAAAGAAAAATTCTGAAACCATTTAAAATGGGCACGTTGCCAAGTGCAGAACCGACTCAGGGCGGCTGGCCCGGAATAGTGTGCTGTTTGCCGAGAGGTTTTTTCAGGGGCGGTTATGGTGTGTTGGGCAAAAGGAACGAGATCACACACTTTTGACCTCTGACAACCATCTTTCACTAACCTGGGGAAAGGATCTTTGACCCAGCATTACGTCAGGAAAGCCCTCCCCCCGCTAACAGTCTAGTACCAATCGCACAGGCTCGGCTGTTTGGTTACTTGGCTAATTGGTAAAGCGCTCGTTTGCCATCTGTATGACCCGGGTTCGAACCCCGCCTTGGCATGACTTTTTGGTCTTTTCTGGAAAATGTAGAAATGGTAGTATGTTTGAAGCTGGAACGATCAATTAAAAAACAATGACCCAATAGTTCAAAGTCGCGCGTTCAAAAACCCGCCTATGGATTGGAGCTGCTAGCTCGCTGAATGTCCTCTGCTGATGATGATGATGATGATGACCACTCCCGTCTGGGCGGGAGAGAGTGGGATAGAGAGAGAAAGAGAGAGAGAGAGAGAGCAAGGAAAAGAAAAACGGAAAGAAATGTAGTCCTCTGCCCGGCTCTCGGCACAAAAATCACCACTCGCCGCCAACCGAAAGAATATTGTCATCGCTTGCCCGAGCGGCGCAAATCATAACATTTCAGGGGAGGGAAAAGCTCGCCTAAATTGATTCGAAAGAAGCTAACGGTTTTCAGGAAATTTTTGAAAAGCTGGGCTTAATTTAGCTCGAAAAAATGTAAAGGAGTACCAAAAATGGTCCTATCCCTTCAGATTGAGCTCGGAATTCTTTGGACGTTTATAAAAGCGATTAAACCTTTTTTTGAAGTTAGAAAACTTATTTTAATGATGTTTCTAGCCGATTTCTCGAGCTAGGTGATGTAGTTGCCAAGGGCCAACAAATGCGTTTTTTGAAATAATTCAAGCGTTCAACCTTTTTAAGACTTGTTAGATAAAAATATAATAAAAATATATGTTGGAAATTATTTTAAAATTGAAATTCCAAAAAAGGCTCTACGAATATCTGTTGCTACCAGCCGAGAGCTCCGGCGAGCCGCTGGTTTGATCGGAAACAGGTTCCCATCCCCGGCTCTCGCGTATAAAACCGCAACCACCAGCCCGGTGTTGCCAATTATGGCTAACAGTGCGTGTAAGGCCGAAACTACCAGGTTTCAAAAAATATTTTTGAAAGCAAAAATCATGAATGTTCAAAAGTTTCACTATTTGACTCGAAAATCTCGTGTAACTTTTGAAATAAGCGCTATTCCGAATTTCTGAAAACAGATTCGGAATCAGCGTAAAATTCTGCACAAGTCGGATGTAGTTTTATCTTTTAGAAAATGTTAAATTTGAACAAAACGGGCGAAAAATCATATTTCCTGGAGCCCAGGTGACACGTCCTTCGGGTTCATAAGCACCTCCCTCTCCCATGACCCCATGGCCGCGTGGCGCAATGGATAACGCGTCTGCCTACGGAGCAGAAGATTGAAGGTTCGAATCCTTCCGTGGTCGAAACTTTTTGCTTTTTGGCCGATTAATCCGGTTAGGTTTCTTATAGCCTCATTTGTTTTTGTGACATTTTAAATACTATATATGCATGGTAGTTCGTTTATCTCTTATTTCAAATTCGCAAAAACACAGAATTCAAATTCAAAGACGGCATATCAATAAACATGACAAGAAAAACAATAATCGGGGGTTAGAGAGAATATTTCGGTCCATTTTTGGGGGATTTGACTAGACGCGGTCAACGGAGCATTTTTGTAACGTGGTAAAAAGGCGGGAGGTTACAGAAAAATTCAATGAATTCAAATCCAGAATTAAATCGAGCTATCTACCGCGTATATGTACAAATTCAGGAGAAGACACATAGCATCATTTTGGGGATTTTGAGCAGTGTAAATAGGCGTAAAAATGGGCGATACGCAGAGAAACTGAGGCCACAAATATGAGAATAACACCTGGAAAAACAATCAAAAAAAACACAAATGGGAGTCGGTTCGAAAATGAAATAAGCTCTTCCTCTGAAGGAGCAGTCCTGCAGCAATAGAAATATATGAGACGGGTTCCCGTAGCTGAAAGGGAATTATTTAATTCCTAACTTCAAATGTAAAACTTTTAAAATCTTTAGCACCTCCTAAATCATCGCTGCTAGCCTGCCTCAAATGCTCACTGCTAGCTTGCCTCCACCTTAAAAGCGCCGAATTCCTCATGGATCTCTGCTGGCCTGCCCCAGATCTGATTGCTCTAATTTACGTGTAGTACCTTCTCAAATGACCTCTGAGTTTTGACTGAGTTCTGAGTTTGAATTGTCTTTTGAGAGTCTTCTCAAAAAACCTAGACCCCAAACGGTTAGAAAAATAGTGAATTCCGAAAGGAATCCCTGCTAGCTTACACCGGATACCCTAGGTAGAACAAAGCTACAAAAATTCCCCATGAATTAATGCTAGCTTGCCTGGGAAGCTCTAGACATGAATTGAAAAGTTTTGTCGGTTCCCCAATGGTCTCTGCTAGCCTGCCTTAATAAAAAAGCTCTGTAAGTGCATTTTGAGGAGCCCGAACCCGAAAAGTCTCTGCCAGCCTGTCCCATTTCCCAAAAAAATCAAAATAACTTACCGTAATTCGTCGCCCTAAAAGACGCCATAATGCTTGGTGCTCTGGGCGGCCTTCTTGAGATCCTGAGCCAGCTGGTCGACTTCTCTGCAAAAGTGAGAATAAAGTGAGAATTTTCCTAGAGTTTTCAGCTATAAAAGACATGTAAGCCAGATTTCCCGGTCAGAATTCGGTCCTACCTTGGGTCGACGCGATGTCCATGGTCTGACCGGGTGACTGATCGAATCGAACGTGTCGATTTTGTCTGAAAAATGGGTTAATAGGTACAACATTAAATTCCATACCCGTTGCATGGCGTTGTACTCGCTGGACGGCCTCGACTTGATGGGGTGTTGAGCACGAGATTCGCCTGAAAATTTAGTTAAATTTTCCAGAGTTAGGAAGATAGCATACCAACGATCCAGTCGTGCTTCATGGCCTCGGTGGCGGACAACCGGGTACGCGCGTTCATCTCCAGGAGGCTGTCGACGAACGTCTTCGCCAGCTCGGAGCCGGACCAGAACTGAAAACAGGTGGGTTTTTAAAACTTGAAAAGGCTAAATTCTTCTCAGGAAGTTAAAAATTTGAAGGTTTCGGGAATTTTTCGCGTCTAAAATTGCTGACTGTTCAGGCTTCCTTGTCCCTTTAAAATAGTCAAAAAGACTTCAGAAAGGTTCAAGCTAACTTTCGGCCAAAAAGCAAAAACCTTTTCGGTGGGAGGTTTCGAACTCGGATCGTTTTTTTGGTGATGCGGCGCGGAACCAACCCGGCACCGCGGTACGGGATCCTGGGAAGGGGCGGGTGCTTTTGAACCCAGTGTGAGGATCTAGTGGGCCAGGTGGGCGCAGGATTTTGTAAAATCTGGAGCTGAAGGCTCGATATTTCGATTTTAGAAGTATTTTTCTTTAAGGTACGGTATTAAGATGTCCTTTTATGGTATGCGCTTTCAGAAGCTCTCCTAGGCCATCTATTTCAACTATTTTTATTATTACGCTCTTTGACCTGCTTAAAATATAATCTTTGAAGATGGGGTCTATAGATGTTTTTGTTTTTAAACCTTTTAAATTTTGAATTTAAAGTATTTTCTTCTCACCTGTGGATAATAAACATAATTAGCGGTGATAATATGGGTATAGAGTCGACTCCGACAGTCATCATCAAACGGCATAATCCCCGACATCAAGATGTAGGCAATCACTCCAACCGCCCACATATCCACCTGTAAATAGGGTATTACCGCCGAATTTAAATACAAAAACCTTTTAGTTAAGTCAACAGAAAACTTACCTTATCGGTGTACGGTACCCGGAGCAACAATTCAGGGGCGATATATTCGGGGGTTCCGCAGGTTTCTGTCATCGTCTCCCCGGAATAGGTAGACTGGTGGGCCAGTCCGAAGTCGGTGATCAACAACCTGAACAAGCTTTGGTAATGCCGACTTCTAAATCTCGAAAATACCGAAAAATCCGATTTTTGGTCAAATATGTATACAAATAAAATAATTTGCAGCAGGATTAATTTCGAAAATCGATGATTTGTGTATGATAAAAAAGATCAGGAATGCTGAATTGTAAAACACAAAATGTAATCATTTTGTAACTTCTTGTAAATGTCGAAAAATGCCGAATTCGGATCTAGCATCACAAAGTACAGAAAATAGCAACATTTTTCATCTTGAAAATGCCGAAAACTACCGAAGAATCTAAGTGACGTTACGCCGATATTATTACTAAGATTAGTAGCATTTAATTATTTGCAACGATTTCATGGAAATATGATTAATGTGCAAGAACATTAAAAATTCAGGTATTTATGGCATTTTTCCGTATTTTCGATATTATTATTGTCTTCCTTACCTAGCCTCCGGCCGTGTATCCGCATACAATAAATTCTCAGGCTTCAAGTCCCTATGTGTCACCCGGATTGAATGAAGGTAG